AACCTCCAGCACAATGTCGCACTTCATTCCAATCACCAGACCTCTTCAAGCTTTCGAAGATAATCAGAGCACGGCATCTGCAGTTGCTGTTTTTTCCCGATAAACGATGGATGATCACCGGCTCGCACGACAAAATGCTTCGTCTGTGGGACTTGAGGACCGGTGTGATGTTGAAGAAGATGGAAGGGCATCGCGATAGGGTGTTGGCATTGGCAGTATCCAGCGATGGGCAATTGATAGCAAGCGGTGATGAAAGCGGCGAGGTCATCGTCTGGCATGGAGAAACTGGAGAACCACTAACGTCGCAACCCATCGAAGTCCACTCCCATGGCATCTCCTCGCTGGACTTTTCTCCCAATTCAAAAGAGCTCGCTACTTCAGGAGACTGTACGGTGATGATGTGTAACATGCCAACGTGGCATCAATTGTTGCGAGGTTCAAAACCAATCTGCTGGAGTGCTTCTGTCCGCTGCGTTCGCTATTCGCCATCTGGCGAGCTTCTTGTCGTCGCAACCGACAACAATATCAACATTTTTCATCGAGGCACAAGGAAATGCACAGCAAGCTTTGAGGCTCACCCAACAGGGAACATGTCAATCGCGTGGACGCCAGATGGTATTCGCCTTCTTTCAGGAGGCAATAGCGTCGACCCTACCATACGTGAGTGGGATACATCGACCTGGAACCAGGTCGGTGATCCCTGGACGGGCCATATGGGCAGTATCAAAGCCATTGCCATTGATCCAGCTGGCATACTCGCCGCTTCCGCATCCGAAGACAATGATGTCCGGCTCTGGCGGCTCTCTGATCGACGAACGATCACCATCTTTAGGCACTCATACTCTGTGCAATACGTCACTTTCTCCATAGATGGCAAGCACCTCCTCAGCGGAGGTGAAGATAACAAGACTTCAGAGTGGGCGATACCCAACTTGGGCATTAATTCAAACGTATGTTTTAATCCTTGACTTGCATGACACAATTCGAACATGCTCCGTACAGATCCTCGCCATTGACATGGCATCCCGCAATGCACTTATAACCGGGAATCTGTCTAGTGCCGAAGAGCTACTCACCCAAGAGATCGACACCGATAGCAACAACTATACTTCCTATGCGAGCCGCTCATTCGTTATGGCGCGAAAAAACGACTGGGACCGCGCCCTTGATGATGCAATCAAGGTGAGATAACTGACCGATTGTGGCCAACTTACGAAAAAAAAGCTAACTTCATTACGACGTAGTCCATCAGTATTCAACCCTCATTGACAGGCTATATCTCCATGGGTATAGCCCACTGCGGCAGAGGCCACGTCCGGGACGCGCGGATAGCATTTAACATCGCGTTCTTATTCACGAACCAAGAGTTAGAGGCCATTCATTTTCTTCTCTTGATCACGGTAGGTTGAATTTGTCTCGCATACTCTCTACTCCATTGTGTGTTTCAGGTCATCGCCCTCTTCAATCTAGATCAACTCGAAGAGGCAATGTTGCTCCTCAAAGAGCTCGCTGCCACCCGTCCGAATGCCGATCTTCTCGCGTGTCATGTTGTGGAAGTGAGTATCATGTCGTTAGGCTTGGCCAACAACACCGATTTTTGCAAATCTTACCTTAGGCACATCTACGTGTTCAACTTGGAATCAAATCCTTGAACGATGCGCGCCACGATGAAGCCGCTGACTACCTCACTGCCGCTATCAACTCCGGCGCATTCTCATCGAACCTCATTCGCGAGGACTTCGTCGTGGTGCGTCAAGATGAGACATCCAAAAGTGTTTTTCATAACTGTGTGCTTTATCCAGCTCTTTGGCTGGGACCTCAAGTCCTTGCGGCAAAAGGCACACCAGAAACGATGCGATGCATGCCTCCGGGCAGGTAGACTTGAAGAAGCCGTGCAATCGTTCCGATATATAATGGATACGATTGACGACAATACAAGGGCCAGCTGCCTTGACTGGTCCAACGGCAAGTATAAAACTTGCAATGTCACGCAGGCTAGAATCCTCACCTGCATTTCACTCAGCATTTAAGGAAGAGTGCGGCACGGTCTGCCTTGCCAACGGAGATGCCGCCCTCGCTGCGAGCGATTATGACAAGGCTATTGACTTATACTCGGCGGCGATCGACCTTAATTCTGCATCCCATGATGTCTTTGCAAAGCGCAGCAAGGCCAAGTCGGATAAAACGCTATGGGACGGTGCCCTTCTCGACGCGCAAAAGGTACGATAACATCTAGTAGAGCTGCTTTGTAACCAATGCTCACGTTAGCGACGCACAGACCATTGAACTCAACCCCTCGTCTTATGTTGGATACCAGGTGAAACATGCAGCCCTTCATGGTGCACAACGCTATGATGAAGCTATTGAAGCCTTCAAAATCATGTTGTCTAAGTTGGACAGTGCTCCCGAAGCGCAGATACGAGGTAAGACCCGGCGGAATACTCGTGGGTTAAGTTGAAAATGTTTATATCGTTTAACAGAGCTGCGTCAGCAGTATGTCTCTCCACCCGAAGCAGAAGATGGTATTCAAACTGCCGCTTGGACTGAACTCGAATCTGCCCTCTTCGTCTACTTAACACATCCACGGGTCTTTTGTGCGATCGAGCAGCACAAATAAACTCCTTCAAAACGAGCGCAACATACAAGGAGCTTTTGTCGCTCACAACGAAGCATTCAGACCTCCAAATGGAGCGCATCAAAGACGTGGCGGCAGTGTACTTCCGCCGTGTCCTTGCTGTCACACAGGTGGGAAGAGAGAGAGCCGCTGCTGCACGACGTCCAGGATAAAGTCGTGTACGAGTTAAATGCAGTTGGCGGCATCGTGAAATTGCAGTCGTTCTGCAAAATCGCTCGTGATGCGGGGTATTATTGGGCGTGGATGGATTCATGTTGCATCGATAAGAATGACAATGCTGAGGTCCAAGAAACGATCGATTCCATGTTCATCTGGTACCGTCATTCGGCACTTACCATCGTCTACCTGTGCGATGTTCCTCCTTCATCCGGGTCTGGCGCACTGGCGAATAGCGCTTGGAACAAGCGAGGATGGCCCTTTCAAGAACTCGTGGCTTCCAAAGTTGTTGTCTTTTATCAGAAGGATTGGTCGTTATATCTCGACGATCAGTCTCCCAACCACAAAGAGTCCCCAGCCATCATGAAGGAGCTGGAGGATGCGACAGGCATAGATGCACTGGCCCTCGTGGCCTTCTGTCCAGGGATGAACAACGCCCGAGAGAAACTGCGATGTGCGTCGATGCGTGAGACCACGCTGCAGGAAGACATTGCATACTCATTGTTTGGCATCTTCGGTATCCACCTTCCTGTCCTTTATGGCGAGAATAAGCACAATGCCCTTGGACGGCTCTTGCAGGAAATCGTGGCTCGAACGGGAGACATCACTGTCCTGGACTGGATCGGACAGTCATCCGGGTTCAATAGTTGCCTTCCAGCCAACATCACCTCATACGCAACTCTTGCCACACACCGTGCCACCCCGGTCTGAGGATGATATTCGGACAACAGTCTCCTCACTGCGAAGAAATACCACAGGTCGTCAATTTGGCTTCGAACTTTATGACGAGCTTGCCAACATGAGCACTCCTCGTTTCGCGAACTGTAGGCTGCATCTACCCTGCGTCGCATTCCGTGTCGCGGAAGTCAGACGAAAGAGCGGTCCAGCCCAAGAGACTCATTTCACGTATGAGGTCAAGGCACATGGACTTCATGATCTGCTGATCGCCACGGAAGAGATGCTGATGCAGTCCCGCAAGGCCCACTTTTGCAGACATTCTTGCTTGTCCTTCCCTGGGATAGGTACCCTCCTCGAGCTACCTGACTTTGCAGAACCGCCTGCCAGTGATGATACGCAGAGTGAGGACGGTTATTGGTCCGCGCCCCCGTCTCCGTTAGACGACTCGGCCAGCGGTTGTCCTGATTTAGAATCTCACTCACGAGCATTGAGATTGCTTGTTCGCCTTGGACAGCCTTTCAGCGCACTTTTCCTGGCGCAGCTGCGCGGTGGAGAATACAAGAGGATCGCATCGGATCATAATATCATTGCACAGGTCAAAGACATAGCTTCTGTTGGCGATATGATGGACGTCAGGACCGTAGAAATATTGTAGCTATGTGGATTCTTATAGGAGACTACTTTATAAGGATCTCTATGTCTAAGTACCCACTGGTTTGTACTCATGTACCGGTGCCCTGTCCTCCACTATCAAATATTCATCTCGCCTAAACCTACATGCGAGGTGCTCGGATTTGCTCAATAGGAACGCGCGCAAATCTTGGTGCATTTTGTTGACGTGCATTCGTGCACAATCGGTACCACTGTGTAACCGCCAACTAAGGCTTGTCTTTATCGCTTAGCACTTCATCAACGTATTAGTAGAACTGATGCATCAGGCTCTACTTGTTTTCGATGTCCTCCTGGACATATTCGCACAAGTTAATAAAATACCATCCACTGGCAAAATAACACTGTCTCGGATGTCCCTTGCATCGCTTGCAGCAACATGCAAAGCCTTCCATGAGCCCGCGATGGATTTGCTGTGGGCTGAGGTAGATCGATTGCAACCATTGCTAGGTTGTGTAACCAGGCTACATCAACGAAAGAGTACATACCGTATGTGACTTCACCTGCCCATATAAGGGTCCACAAGCTCCCCAAGTTGTCACAAGGCGGCACAAGTGTTGTGTGACGCTGCTATGCGCACATACTTTATGGTATTCATGTCAGCCCGAGTCAGTCTTGTGGTCCGTGTACCACCATGTGGTGCCTGGTGACCCATATATGCATTGGGCAGCTTACATTGATCGGGCAGCTTGCATGGACTGCTGAGGTCTGGGCCAGCATTATATAGTCTTGTTATTGTAGCTACCAGTCTTAGATCACACTTGAATGGAACTTAAATGACATCATAATTGTTCGACTACTACAGAACAACGAGGCAAGCAACATATGATAAAAACGAGAAAAAAAAACACAAGGGAGAGCCCGTTACTGCAGATCATCACCGTCGTGATCTCGCCTTGCCACGACCGCGGCCACCGCCTCGAGGCACTGGCGCTGCTCGTTTGGTTTTGCGTCCAACGGGTGCAGGAGTCGTCGGAGGGTCGCTCAAAGGAGAAAGTTCGCGCTGAGTGCGTGCTGGGGAGCCAGTACGAGGAGGTGCCGGGGAACCAGTGTGAGGAGGTGCCGGGGAACTGCCAGGTGTTGGGGAGCTGCGAGGAGGTGTAGGAGGGGCATCATTCTGAGGACCACCAGGGTTGCTCTGATTCAGAGTGCGAGAACCTAGTAGATTACATTAACACAAAATAACAAAAACAAGGTGGGGAATGTTACCACCCGCCGCCAATTCGCCGTCGTTAGGGGGGTCGCGTGCCACGTGTTTCGTTTTCCTCGTCATGCTGGTCAGCAGCAGCTGTGTCGTCTCCGAAAAAGTCGTCCATGTCGTCATCGGTACCAGAGTCATCGGTTGCAGCAACTCTGCGTCGCTTAGAGGGACGGTTGTCGGTTAGGCCAGGAGTTTCACTATGTGAGTCGTCATCTAAGGTAATAAAAAAACAAACAGCACACTTACTCCTTCCAGAATTTCATCAAATCTTTGACCCACTGCTGGTCAGCGTTATCCTGGACGATGTCGACAGCTCTATAGTATAGATCACCAAGGTCCATGGCCCCGATGACAGGCGTTCACGACTCTGCATTGCTGGCTGTAAAATACATCTGATGGACATTATTAAGATGTAGTAGATATTGAAATAGAATCATGCACCTGACACGCGGCATACATTATGTTTCTGATCCCTGGTTCGGCAAGGTGATGCATTTTGCCCTTCCCAGGCTTCGACGAGCGACCAATATTGTCTTTAGATAGAGCTGACATCGGACCTGTAAAGATATGGTGCCATGCCTAGAACCAGGGAGGTCAAAGCACAATTCTGTTGGTTCAAAAATGTTACCTGGATCACGACATGACTTCAGAGGAATCCCTTCTTCTTGTTCTTCGGATCGTACAAGCTCATGTCATAGAACATCGATGGCCACTGCTTGGCACTAATCTTCTTCTCCCCTGCATTCGCCTTGTCCATATAAGATCTGAAGCAGGTTAGTGTTTGTTTCAATCAAATAAAAGTACGTACTGAGGATCCACGTCAAACTCAGTGATATCCCGTGCAGGACATAAGAGCCGTGCAGTCTGTGGGTGGTTCCACCCTCGCAAGGCCTTACTGTGAGACTTGAGTATCAGGGGGTTGAAACAATCCTTGGTGTGGTCATTGAGCATGTACTGAAGCCCAGTATGCTTGAGGGACCCCATATCGTCACAACAAGCCACATTCGCTGCACTTTCCATCTATAAAATGTCAGTACATGATAAAATAGCGCATATATGCACTTACCGACTTGAGAAAACTCGTTAGTGACTCTGGTTCGCGTTCGAGTTTCGTAATGAGGTTGCTGAAGTTGGGGATCGACTTTGAAAAGTCAGTAAACAGGTGGATGTTGGCTTGTGTTCTGCAACCAACAAATTGTTAGCTAAATTTAATCACCTGTTAGTGGGGGAAGGATATATCCAAACTGGCTTATTAGCCAAAAACCCTGATACATCATTCAGTTTAGCTATCCACTGTAACACTATCTAGGTTGATGTATCCTTGGGTGGATCCCAGCAGTGGCTTCTGTATACATCATTCCCAGCATATTTTCGCATTTTTGGCCACCTACCCCCCCACAATATTCTCACACTTCATAGCTCCGCATTTTGGGCCACCTACTGTGGGAATTTCCCCACAACACCAAAAACATCGCCCATTTTGGGAATCTCCACAATATCAATTATTCCCACACCCTCCCCACCTTACTGCAGCTTCACCACTACACCACAATAGGTCCCCCCTTGTATCTAAGTAGTAGTTTGGTATATACATGTATAATATACTATAATAGACCGCTTTTCTGTTTATTTGTATGTCTCCTCCTCCTCCAGGGGCCATTTACAATAGGTTAGGGTATAGAACACTTTCGCACTTTTGCCCCTTTAATAGAGAAGTGTTCTAGGATATTCAGACCATGTTTAAGAATATATATGAAGAGATTCCAAGCCTTATTTGACCCCCTGAAGCGCCCTACATCAATAGATAAGGCATATATACAGAAAAATACAAAATATGTTCTCGTGTATTAATTTCTAGGTACAGAGCCTTTGAAACATGATTCCCAGCATCTATCCAACAGTATTAAAAATGTATCAGGAGCTCAGGACCATAGGATAAGACCCTGCTGTGTAGTACATCCCCCCTCTCCTGATGGTTTACCTCCTGTGAAATTTTTTCCTGTAGGACCGGACCTCAAGTATTGTATGGGGCCCATTCCTATGCATATTTAGAGTATATCTATCACCTAGCTACTCCAGAACATCTACAGGGTCCTTCCACAGGAACATAAATATAATATATCGCAATTTTGACAATTTTGATGTTTTCATTCCTTTACTCTTGCAAAAATGATCCAAGCTGGTCATATATCATCATTGGGGCACATATACATGCTTTGTATGCCCAGGATCAGCTCATAATAGGCCAGAGATTTCAGATCATGTGTATGCTTACTATTTCTACTGATTAGGGGCCCATACCTTTAGGGTATCGAAATTTAATGATCAGACACCTGGAGTGCATGTCATACATATTCAGTATCACAGATCTCAAATTTCAGAAAGATCCATCAAGTATTGAGTGAAATGAATGTAAAAGAACATATGTGTGAAAAGTGACAATTGACACATATCACACAGAATTCACATTTATATATGATATAGGTCAAATATTTCATTAAATTTTGATAGAATACATGTTAGACTACACAAGGAACCTATACTACACTTTGCCCTGAGAGTGGAGGGGATGTGGAAGGGATGTGGTAGTGAAGTCAGTTGATGCAGCATAAAAGTCCTATAACTTCTTAACTGACCACTTTCGATGTTTTGAGTATTTGAAGTTTCCCACACTCGATTTCTTATCTATTTACTTCCCCAGTCCTCAATCCTGGGTAGATCTTTCTATAACTTGAGTCCTATGATGCTGAATGTATGTGAGATGTACTACAGATGTCTGATCATTAAATTCCGATGTTTTAAAGGTATGGGCCCCTAATCAGTAGAAATAGTAAGCATACACATGATCTGAAATCTCCGGCCTATTATGAGCTGATCCTGGGCATACAAAGCATGTATATGTGCCCCAATGATGATATATGACCAGCTTGGATCATTTTTGCAAGAGTAAGGGAATGAAAACATCAAAATTGTCAAAATTGCGATATATCATATTTATGTTCCTGTGGAAGGACCCTGTGGATGTTCTGGAGTAGCTAGGTGATATATATACTCTAAATATGAATATGAATAAACACCCTACACTTCTTGAGGTCCGGTCCTACAGGAAAAAATTTCACAGGGGGTAAACCACCAGGGGAGGGGGGGTACACTACACAACAATATCTTGTCCTGTGGTGATGAGCTCCTCACACATTGTTCCTACTATTGAATAGGTGCTGGGAATTATTTTTTCAAGTACATCCACCTAGAAATAAACAAATGGCAACATATTTTGTGTTTTTCTGTATATATGTTATATCTATTGATGTAGGACGCTAAAGGGGGTCAAATAAAGATGTGATTCTCTTCATATATATTCATAAACATGTTCTGAATGGTCTGGGACACTTACACATCAAAGGGGCAAAAATGCGAAAGTGTTCTGTGTCCTACTTCATTTTAAAAGAGCCCTGGAGGAGGAGAAGGCATACAAATAAACAAAAAAAAGCGGTCTATTATAGTATATTATACATGTATATACCAAACTACTACTTAGATACAAGGGGGGGACCTATTGTGGTGTAGTGGTGAAGCTGCAGTAAGGTGGGGAGGGTGTGGGAATAATTGATATTGTGGAGATTCCCAAAATGGGCGATGTTTTTGGTGTTGTGGGGAAATTCCCACAGTAGGTGGCCCAAAATGCGGAGCTATGAAGTGTGAGAATATTGTGGGGGGGTAGGTGGCCAAAAATGCGAAAATATGCTGGGAATGATGTATACAGAAGCCACTGCTGGGATCCACCCAAGGATACATCAACCTAGATAGTGTTACAGTGGATAGCTAAACTGAATGATGTATCAGGGTTTTTGGCTAATAAGCCAGTTTGGATATATCAATATGACAGTATGGGCTGATTTAATCACTAGTTAAAATAAAAAAACAAACTCTTCGTCCTGCTCTTGATTGACATCCTTGGGCTCGAATTCAGCAAGTATTCCATCTCACAGAATGACAAAAATGTTAGCAAAGAGGTCATAGTTTAGACGGAAGAATCACGCAGCAGTTAGGTAAGGATCAAGTGGGATTGCTGTAATCAATGTGAGTCATGGTCTTTCAATTTCGCATATGGGTGACTTACGCTTTCTTCTGCTTGCGTCTGGTTGACGAAGTATCATCTAAGCTCCGGAGAAGAGCTTCGAACGAGTCCTCGGATCGATTGTTCTGGTCTGTGCTCTCGGGCATGATGTAGTTCAGGGTTAAGGGGTAAATATGATTCCGGAATGTTGTTGACACATTGTTTGTTTGGTTCTGTTGACTTATTAACACGTTCAATTTCAGTGTCAGTGACTATATGCGCAATTGAACAAGAAATACAATTTTCATGCTACAATTACAATCAGTGGTGTCAAGCACCTTTTGGAGGAATCTGCCCCCGAATTTCGCTGTACCTGGACTCTTCTACCGGCATCCATTAGATCATCAAAATGCCTTTCGTGAAGCTTCAGTGGAACAGTTTCATCTCATGCCATTTGAAACCTCCTTCCAAGCATCACCTAATGAACCTGCCGAGCGTGTCTATTCAGAATTATACACATCCCCAGCCATGATTAACGAGCATCGCAAGATTGCATCTGTGCCAAGACTCAATGGCTGTACGCTCGAGACCATAACTGCCTCAATCATGCTATGGTCAGATTCTACGCACCTCGCTAGTTTTGGCACTGCATCGTTATGGCCGATATATATGTATTTTGGGAATCAGTCCAAATATGTTCGTGGAAAGCCGTTGTGCTTTGCTGCGCACCATCTTGCCTACATTCCTAAGGTGAGCTTATGGCAAGGTGCTGCGCATTGCCCACTGATAGCCTTTTAACAGCTTACGGACACAATCCAGGATTTCTATCAGCAAGCATTTGAAAAACCTGCAACTGCTGAGGTCTTGACACACTGCCGACATGAACTTATGCAAGCCATCTGGCTACTCCTTGTGGATGACGACTTTATGCATGCCTATGAGTTTGGCATTGTCATTGAGTTTCTCGACGGTATCTGTCGACGAGTCTTTCCCCGTTTTTTTACCTACTCCACAGACTATCCTGAAAAGTGTGTTGCATAATCTTCATTAACTCAAATCTCATTTTGATTTCGCATATGTTACAGAACACTTCTGGCCTGTATCAAATTTCTTGCGAAATGCCCTTGCCCTCGTTGTTTAATCCCAAAGGCCAAGATTGGAGAACTCGGCACTCGTGCTGGACAGGCGCTGTCGTGAGAGAGACGCACACAAAGATAGTCATGGGCTACGATCAACTATCAGGAGGGTTCGTGACTGGCTGTATGTGAAAGGCACCAACATTTCTAGTGTTTTGTCAAATGTCTACTTGGCCCAGATTCCCTCATTTCAACTGCAGTATGTTGTTCTCCCACAATCACATCATGACTATCAGTAACTGATTGTCATATCCCGTATTCTGGACCTACGTCCGATGATGTTCCCACGCCTTCCGGATGCACATCAGGACCTCCATACCCTTATCCATGACTCCATACCCTTATCCATGCCTTCAGTCCTCCAGTCCACTATCAGTTTGGATCCATACACCTTCGTACATCCATATATCCATACCTTCGGACCTCCGTAGCTAAGCCTGCTTCATCCACCCTTGATCCTATTGGATCCGAGCTCATTCCATCTCGGACTTTACCTTCACTAGACTACCAGTCTATATCCAAGATCCATATCCTAGTCTCGTCTTCACCTAGATCTCCGGATCCGCTCATCCGATATCCAGACGCTTCATCCGATATCTCTAGACCTCCGGATCCGACCTATACTCATATCTGAAGCCCAAACCTTAAATCAGCGTCTATCTCCTTATGGTAATTCCCTTGACTCCGGACTTCGGTTATCTGTGTTTCCATCTTGCTTATTGATCCTTGTACTCTGTTCATCTCCGAGTTCATTTACTTATGTTCTGTTCATACTACCAATATGTTTCCACATGCTCGTACATAGCATTTGTCTTCAGCTTACTGATCCTCTCGGATCCCGTCCAGTATATAAACCTCTGTACAACTCCTGTAAAGTTTCCTTAGTTCGAATATCAACATAGACTTGCTCTCTCGCATCTTAGACTTCACTCATTCTTGTCTCGGACTTTGGTCCATCTTAGTCTGACCTTTTCCTTAGGCCTGGGGAAGGATTCCTTAGGCCGACTTTCCGGTCCTCCAGATTTATCCTTCCATCTATATCCATGCTTAGGGATTGATTCCCTAAGCCGAAGTTTTGCCTTTCCGGCACTTCCTGTCTTTCCGAGACTTCTGTCTAAAACCCTGTCTATCCGACTCTACCATAGTGTAGTCTACCTCTGTTTGTTTCTACTCCAGACCTTGTCCATAGTAGCCTTTCCCCTCCTGTCCTAATCCTGTCCGCTCCTCCAGTCCTCGTAAACCTTCGGACCTTCGGACGTCGTAAACCTTCGGACAACGTACCCTTCAGATGTTGTACCCTTCGGACGTCTTAACCTTCGGACCTCCGGATGTCCTGTCCTTCAGACCACTCCTCCTATCCTATCCTGCTTTGGGACTCTGTCCCTTGCAGCTTATCCTCTATGTGTTTCTATCTAGGGAACTCACCTTGGGAAGTCTTACCTTCGGATCTAATACAGTGGATGAAACTCCTCCGGAGTTTCCTATACTCCTCCGGAAGTTTCTCGCACTCATCCGGAAGTCCTCTAGCACTCTACTAGAGTAGCCGGCCTCTGGAAGTCCTTCGGACTTCGTCAGATTCCATCTGGACTTCATTCTGAATTAAGGGCACGTACTCGGGTAAGGGGCACAGCGCATGAGCTGAGGCCAAGCCCTTCGGATCCGTTGTAGAGGCTCGCGCCCCTACAGGCGCACTTCTAGCGTTTTTCCCTCACTCCCTATAGCCACCCTCACATCGTTAAGGGCCAAAGCGCCTCGCGCAGTTCATACTTATTCTCAGTGCATTAGGCTTTTAGCGCTCTACTTAGGTTTCCTAGACCAAAGTTCTAGTCTTGGATCTCCCTCACTTATATTAGAGGAATCTATTCTCAGTAGCAATCCCCTTGGGATGACTGTTGCTCCGCTTCCAGAGGAGCACTTGAGAGCCTCACTACACACTCCCCCTTAGTAGCCATTTATTCATTCCTCGCCCTCACCGTCTACCCTTGAGCTACGGTCTTAACACTGATCAACAGAGCGCATTTTCAACTCAACTCGCTCAATTTGGATTCAATTTCTATTCACTGTTCGTACCTGACCTACTCCATGAGTTCGAGCTCGGAGTCTGGAAGGTCATCTTCACTCATCTTCTTCGGATTTTGTACTCATACGGGAACGATACAATTCAGGATTTAAATGAACGGTTTGTTTATTTTCTATCTCACACCATCCTCATATTAAGACTAAATTTACAGGTATAGACAAGTACCAACGTTCGGATGGGGTACAATATGTAGATTCAGTAACAATGCCTCAGGTATGAAGCGTTTCGCAGCGAGGGACTTTGAAGACTTGCTGCAGGTAACTGTCATGCAATGTGGAGTTACCATGAGCTAACATTGACCAAACAGTGTGCTATACCCATTTTTGAGTTGCTTACTTCCATCTTGGTGGAATGAACCTTTGCTAGATCTGCTATTCAAACTCGCAACATGGCAAGGCCTTGCGAAACTGCGAATGCATACCGACACAACACTTGGCTTTCTCGACACATCCACAACACGTCTTGGAAGGTTTCTCAGGCACTTTGTCAAGGAGACTGAGGAAGAGTTTGAGACACGAGATCTACCAAGCAAGGAGGCTGCTCGTGGACGCCGAAAGGCTCGACAGGCAGCAAAACAAGGGCCTGCACAGTCTGCAGCACCAACTTCAAGGCGAGGTATAGATGGGCTGAAGATCTGACACTTCAACTTTGAGACATACAAGCTCCATGCCCTCGGTGACTATGTAGATGCTATTCGTCAGTTTGGAACAATGGACAACTTTACAACTCAATCGGTGTGCTCTAGAAGCAATTTAGGTTTATTTTGGCACTGAATCAATATATTCCAGGGCGAGCTTGAACATCGTCGCATCAAACGATTTATCCGCTGTCTTGCTACTTAAGGGTCTTATATGGAACACGTATATAGTGACAACACAACTATACAGGGATAAGACTACTTGCCAGTCCTTAAGTACACGGTCTACAACTTTTCTAGTTTTCGTGGTAGATAACGTGTGAGTTCTTGGGAGGATTTACTGACGTGTCCTCTTCTTGTCTTTCTCGTGATTTCAGTGATACGAAGTTTCTCAGTGTTATATAGTCAACCTCTAGTTTAGGTAGTATATAACTAGTAGTAGAAATGTCTTATATCTTACTTCAAGGCAACCTATTTGGCCTGCACTTTCAGAATCTTACTGGGTCTCACACAGTTTGAGAGAAGAGTGGAAAGTGGGAAGTTATATTTAGTACTCTTATATACTAAATACTATACTGATTGTAATACTAATACCATACTTGTAACATAGTTACTGTCTTCCCTGGGCTTATCAATGCCAGATACTAAAAGACAGTAATGACTGATTCTCATGCTTCTGTTGTAATACAACTTCTCACTGAGGGAAATCTTTCTTTGATATCCTTGTTGTCTGCCCTGGACTTACTATTCATGGCCATTTAATAACAGACAATTTATCTCTGGGCAAGGATCTGTGTGTGTCTCTCTGTATACTTCAAAAGGCTAGACAAAGGGCCTACACTTTCTGTGACTCATTCTCCAATCTGAGGGAGAGTGGTTAAAGTGTGAAGTATTACTCTGATATCCTTGTTGTCTGCCCTGGATTTACTATTTATGACCAGTTAATAATAGACAATTTATCACTAGGCAAGGATCTGTGTGTGTCTCTCTGTTGACTTCAAAGGCTAGACAAAGGCCTACACTTAAATTCTTACTGGCTCTCACACATTTTGAGAGAAGAAGTAAAAGTGGGAAGTCATGATTACTAGGTGCAAGATGGGCTCCTTTTATACCTTTTTGGGGCCCCCCCTTACTAAGCATGACTCATCACAGCATTAGTAAGTCACTGGCTTACTAATCATGCCATTTGGCAGTGCTGAATCAGCTGCTTGTCAATCTAATATACATAAATAGTAAATACTATTACAAAGCATGACAAAGCATGACAAAGCCTGACAAATCATGACAAATCCTTACAAATCAGCCTTTTGCCAGTCACATGACATGCTTACAAACATATCTGATGGCTCACTGAAGGATCTGTGTCTGAAAGAAATGAAAATAGACGGAAACAAATGGAAACTGCATGACTGTCATATACCATATTCCCGGGTACAGATCCGAAGATCCGGATCTCAGATCCGATCCAGATCCGATGAACATATCCATCGTCCAGTCCACAGATCCGATCTAATCCTTGTTTCATGTCCTGTTCATATAACTCTAACTATCGGTCATCTCCTTTCGGCATTCCTGTACACTGGTATACCGGTTATCCTTTACTTCCGTTATGCTTACTGATCTGCTACACTTACTGATCCGCTTTAGCTTAGACTTCATTCCCAGTTATGATATGTTATCCATCCGACTTACCAATATGCTGTACACATACTTTGCTTATACTTCGTACATAGCCTCACACCTTTGCTTATTGATCATTCTGTTAGTTATCCATAGTATATAAACCCTTGTACATGCGCTGTAGTGGATCAGTTTGAATATCATCTTAGATTGCACTCATTCTGTCTGGACTCTAAGTCCCTCCGTTATCCGTCCGGACTTGAGTACGATACTCTTGTCTACTCCGGGACTTAGGATTGATTCCTATAGTCTATATATCCGTCTCTGTCTTCGGACAGTCCTCGCCCGTTAGTTTCTAGTTCGGATCCGATCTGGATTAGCCGTTACTATATACGTTCGATATCCGGAAGCCATAACAGATCCATTATGAGACTTATCTGTCTCAATATACGCGATACTCTAGCACTCTGAAATAAGGGGCAAGACTCGGGAAAGGGGCACAGCGCACGAGCTGAGGCCGAAGCCCTTTGGATCCGATACTACTTGAGTACGGTCTTAACAATGACAAATCATGAAGGATCCTTACAAATCAGCATATTGCCAGTCACATGACACACTAAGTGACATATTTGTGGCTCACTGAGTAAATTGATGGCTGAATAAGCCTTAGAAAAGAAAGAGAAAGAAACTGATGGAAACTAACAAACTGAAAATATAAGTACAAGTAAATCTGTCATAAAATGAAACCAAGCCTGTAATACAATGAAGTATACCTTTAGTATACTCTTCCTGTGACTACTTCCTGTCTATGTATGTCATGGTATGGTTCCCATACCATGCATGACACTGCGAGTCAGCACAGCAAAGTTCACATCTGGAAATGTGAAACAGGAACGTTGTGAACAGATTCTATTCAAAATGGCTCAGCAGAGCACAACAATTCAAAATTGGAGAAAGGCAAGTCTACAACAGTCCGTAAACCTGGTCATACAACGACGGCAGGTGAAGATGCCCCCTTTCACATGCCCTTTGAAGCATTGGAGCCTTTGGCTTACTCAGACCCAATGTCGCACTACCACATCTCCAATGGCACACGGTACCACTTAAATCTCCCTCAATGGCTCATCAAACATGCAAATGATCCCGCGTTAGATGTAAGCTGTCAGTTTCTTTGAGTTAGCAGTGCTCATGATCATAATTACTAAAGGATTTCCTTCCTCGGCTGAAAGATTACCTCCTTTCTCGCATACTTGGTCATGAATATGACGGTGACGAGACAGAGTTCTCTTCAGCCGAGCGTGCCCAAGTCCTGTTCGTCAATGACCGCATATTCCAGCACAAGGTCATTCGTGTCAATTACACGACATATGATCTGCGTCGCTCTCAAGATTCTCTTAATCCCTGCACGCATGCAGATGTCATGGTTCTCGGACATGAAGATAACGACACACATCCATACTGGTATGCACATATCCTGGGCGTGTTTCATGCAAATGTCATCCATAGAGGTGGGGATGCACCCCCATTCGAACCCCGGCAGATGGATTTCTTGTGGGTTTGGTGGTTCGGTTGTGATCCTAATAATTATCGGTCTGGATGGAAGGCAAAGCGTCTTCATAGGCTTGGGTTCATCCCCGCTGATGTAGCAGGAGCATTTGGCTTTCTCGATCCACAGCAGATTATTTGAGGCATTCACTTGATACCTGTGTTTGCCCATGGTCGCACTAGTCTATTACTGCCGCCCTTGATTGCTCGTCCGCTACAGGACAAAGACAAAGACTGGAAATTTTTCTATGTTAATATGTATGCTATATTTGTACTCCTGACATCTGTCACTGACCTTCGTGATTCAGATTCGTCGACAGAGACATGATGATGAGGTTCCGCGGTGGCGGGGTTGGCCACAAGTCTACTTGCAAGTCGACTGCAGTTTTCTTGGAGGACCGCGACCCTCTAGATGAAATCACTCGAGACGATAGCAAGGAAGACTTTGAAGACTTTGAAAGTGGCATCAATCAGGGGGCACAGCTCAGTGCTGGGTCTGCTAGTACTACCGCACAAAATCAAGCTACTGGCGATGAAGAAGATGATATCGAGTCCGAGATGGATGAGTATGAGTATGGGAGCCTTGACGAGGAAGAAGAGGCGACCGACGAAGAAGATGAAGAACAAGGGGATGGTCTTGAGGAGGCTAATGATGAGGTCGGACCGGAGGATGGTGAACACGATGCTATGGATGAGTACGAAGGGTATGCAGAGCTCTAGCAACTGATTGTCATGTAAATTTCAAGCGAGAGTCGACGAATATGATTTTAGCCTTGGCCTTGCGGCAGTAATGAATGTCAACCCACGAAAATATTTTAATTATCATGCAGGTAACCGTCAGCCTGTTGCCGGCCATGCAAGTCGCCACCAGTCTTTGCTCCATTCATACAAGTAGCAACCAGTCTTCCTTCCATGCAAGTCTCTGTAACACTGGCTTGAGATTACAAGATATTCACCTGTCTGCTACACTCATACAAGATCACTGCAAGGCCATATATTATGGTAAACAGCCGTGCGTGGTAATGTAAGCTTCACAAGACCATATATGATCATATACACTATGTGTTGTTTTGTTGATGTACATCCACTGATATATCTTTGTGGTCGTGCACCGGTGAGTGCAGAGTTCTTTTTGTTCGTTCATTAGTTGACTGAGCATCTAATAATCAAATACTGGGACGATACCTGGGCAGAAGGCATCGAACCATTGTCTGCCGATGAGGCCTGTCAATTTTTGCATCACTCCGGCTGTATTCATTCATTGAGCATACCACCTGCCAATTGCCTTTTTCCGCTCCTCTCAGTAATCCCCATTGAGGCATGCATCTTCCCACAGACCCTTCAGTCATTTTTCACGTAGAACCATGGCCCCGGATGTGCCAAAAGGCTGTAGAATCATGGCCAGCCAGTCCTCAGCCGGTCTATGTAGGATGGGTGCTGGCCGGTGCATTAAATTTGTCAGAATGGTCAAGGCTAGCCTTAATTTTACATATTGTAGACACAGGCCAGTGTGACAATCATACCAGCGCTGGGCGCGTATGAGTGTCATAGGCATATTTTGCCTTGCATAGAGGAAAAGAGTAAGGCGCTAGTCACCAGCGCTATTCAACTCCCAAGCTATCCGCTTTGGAACCACTTTTCTCCCATAGTGCGCTGCCTGGCCCGACGCCTAGGTATTCCGTCCTCCCATGTCCTGCCTATGTCCACCTACCTCCACTGGTGTGTTATTTTTCCTTAAATGTCGCTACTCATCAGTCGCAGGTCTTATTACATGTATCCTCGTGTTCCGCAGTGCAGCATGTTTTCTTACCTGTCGCTACATTGTGCCCTCGCCAGTATCGCTACTATTCTCGCCTACGCATTCCCGAACATTTATGCAGTATGATAAAATGACCCATCACACATACAGTACAGTACTTCCCTTCCCCGGACCTTTGCTGGTGTTGGAGTCACTTTAGTCGCTATATCCTAGTCTTGGTGCAATCAATTCCGCTCTTGCCAATCTCTTTGATCACATGTCGCTTGACTTGCTTTAAGTGCGTGTTGCTAAAGTCCCCTCTTAAAGTTTGACTTTTGCAATGTCAGGATCGCTATCGGTAGTCGAGCTATAATCTAGTTGCTATCGGGCATTTCACTTGCACTGTCTTATCTTACTCCTCGCTTTCACTCCCTTTGATTTCTTCTCGCTATCGCTAGTCAGACGTCACATAGCACTATCGCATAAAACAATTTGCATAGTGCTTCTCACTTATACGCACGTTTCTCTATTGGAACTTACTTGTCGCTAGTCGCTGATCGCTATAAGTGTTACTCATCAGTTTTTGGTCTTAGGTCGCTATAGGTTATCAGTCCTTCGCACTATCGCTACCCTTGCATATTAGAAGTGAGTTGCTTCAATAGCAGTCCTCTTGGGTCGAATACTACACTCGCGCCTATTTGGATAAGTAGCTCTAGTTTCTAACCAGCCTAGTGGCTATTTCTCTTTCACACCGGCCAGCAGTACTAGACTTAGGGTGGCCCTGGCCAGCTGTCCACCTACAGCATCAGGAAACCTGCGTTTTCCCTGATTGACCTGCATGGTCTGACAGCAGATCCAACAGGAACCCCAGTCCTTCAATCTGTCAGATATGGTCTGAAATCAGATGCATCACTCTGATCTCAGCACATCATAGTATCAGCAACAGAGACCATCAGTATTACATCCTGTTATTCCATGCAGACTTGCAAAGCAACATGTTAGACAGTACATCAGGACATAATAGATACTCCAGCTCTAGGGTTATCAGATGTTTCAGGCTATTCTGTTCATCTGGTTGTTAGGTGCTCAGTATCCCAGACTACCTATACAACACATTATCTGGTTGTAGATAAACCATATTTAGCAGACCAGCATAGTTCAAGTCTTTCATATTAGCAGGACCATCATATCGTGGGACTGTCATTTACTTAGATTGTTAATTAACCAGGCAAATTGAGTGTCCAATTATGATAATGTTAGATCTGTCAGTGTTTCAGTGTGTCAAATGTGCATGACCCTAGACCATCCTTTGTCTTACATGAACAGCTCTCCAGACGATTAATATACCAGATTATCACTTGTTCCAGTTGGCAAGAACTCATATCACACAACTACTAGTCCTTCAGGTATGCAGGAACATGATTGATCAATATTATCTAGGTAGGGTATTGTATTCAGCAGGCAATGTGAGTTGGAACAGCAAACAAGCAACTAGTATGAATGAAGAATTAAACAAGAAAAGAGCAGCAACAGAGCAATGAGCAATGAGTGAAACATGATCACGAAATTCTAGAAAAAATCAACCCATAAGTGAAATGTCAGATCCTGAATCACTGCCTGAATCTTCTTCGATACAAATAGCATGGCCGTTGTCACCTACAGCCTTCCTCTGGGCCTTCGCGTGACGAGATGGCTGCTTTCGATGAGCATCGATGAAGGGCCTCACACCCTTAAATATCTTCTTCCATTTGCGGCGGCTAGCTTGCTCTAGAGACTCTATGACAAGTTTAGTGCGGTCACTCCAAAGACCCTCTGCAAATTGAGACTCTACAGGTCTCTTGGGTTTTACGTAGACCCCGGTTGACCACATCTTCCATGCCTGTTTGACCTGCTGATACATCAGTAGCGTTGGGCTGAACGAAGATAGACAAACCACAATCGTGGCAATGGACAGTGCTCCCTTTGGCATGTCTGTGCGGCGTAATTCCTTCGGGAGATCGTGGACCTGCTCAAGGTAGAGTGTGAAGGTATCGAGAATGCACGAATCTTTGAAAGAGCCTCGATATGACTATTTGACAGGTGAGCAATCAAGGTGGGGATGAGATTGGAACACGTACATCTATGTCTGTTCTATCCCTGACAACTAACTTCCACATATAAGGATATATTGGAGGGTTCACCCATGCAGTACAACCAGCGTCATCAACATACCGAGCTTGTTCAGGCACCAGATATGCAACTGTGTCAGTGATGTCGTCAGGCAACCAATCTTGCATTGGATATATTTTCCAACGATGATCTCTGCTCATTCACTGAAGTTTCTGCGATAGTCATATGCACGCTGCATCAACTGGATAAAATGTACAATCAGGTGGTAGAAAGTCAATCACAATAGACTTACCACTTTATACACAGCGTCTTTGTTCTTCAATACGGTGTGCTTGAGGGTCGGAAAGGCATGATCCCAGATTTGCTGCATCTCTTCAGCAAAGTCCGAGATATCCCACATGTTATCAAGGCAGGAGATAAAGTCAATCCACATGGGGACAACATAAGAATCGAACTTGCGATGTGACCCAGCAGGAAGGTCATTTTTGTGAACTTGATGCATCTATGTTGTACTTCGGCATCGTCATCGTTGTCATCGTTGTCGTCATCCTCACTGTCGCTGTTGCATTGAATGGGACGATGCTGTGGTATAACTAATCAGTTACCTTGTAGCACTGATCACATTCAATTTGAACATACCTTCTTAGAACTAACTTTAGACTTGGACTTTCCTGAGCCACTAGTCTGTCAGTCAATGCCTGAGGGTGCCAAATTCGCAGTGGGCCTGCCACTGGAGGTTTTCTGTTGAAATCAGAACCTCGTGATTAGCATCAGCCTATCTTAAAAAACATACGCACATTGTGGGAAGGCTTTGCGTTCATGGGGCGACGCACGAGTTCTTCATCATCGGATTCCACGGTCATGTCAACCTGCAAATAATTAACTCTTAGCATAGCATTAAAAAATCCTTGCACAAACTAACCCTGGTCTTAGACTTGTTTGATTTATCAGTTGTCTCTTGGTCAACGTGAGTGGAGATATTCTGTTGAAGTTGATCAGCACCGGCCCATCTTGAGAAAGTATACACACCTTGTGGAATTTTTTTGTGTTCATGAGGGGATGCATGAGTTCATTATCTGAGTCTTCTGGAGTTGTCTTGACCTGCAATAAATTAACTCTGAGCACAGTACAAAAAATTTGCGCGAACTAACCCTGGTCTTGGACCTGCTTGAACTACTAGTCTCTTGGTCAACGCAGGTGGAGGTATTCTATTGAAGTTGATTAGCACCAGCCGACCTTGAAAAACACACAAACCTCGTAGGAAGGCTTCGTTTTCATGGGGCGATGCATGATTTCTTCATCATCCGAGTCTTCTGTGGTTGCATTGACCTGCAAGAAATGAACTCTTAATATATGATGAAAAAAACCTTATGCAAACTAACCCTGGTCTTGGACTTGCTTGAACTGCCACTCTCTCGGTCAATGTGAGTGGAGGTATTCTGTTGAAGTCGATTAGCACCAGCCCATCTTGAAGAACATACGAACCTTATGGGAAGGCTTCGTTTTCACGCGGCGATGTGTGATGTCTTCATCATCTGAGTCTTCAAAGGTTGTGTTGACCTGCAACAAATTAATTATGAGCACAGTAGAAAAAATGTTTGCGTACTGTCTGTTCACCCTCCTCTCCAGTGTTCCTATTGGCCTTCGACTGTGCCTTGAATTCACATTTGGTCTTTGCATTGTCAGTGTTGACCGTATATGCTTTGATGCTTGGATCGGCCTTGCATTCGCATTTAGACTTTGCATTGTCGATGTCGACCGCAGATGCTCCATCCACCTCATTCTCTGACTCAGCAGAAGTCTGGTCAGGCTCTAAGTTGGGAAACAGCAGATCGTTATCTAATGTATTTCCCTCTTGTTCCTCACCCATAGCTACAGGTATCCTATTGACAGGTGAGACACTCTGAGTGTGCATAAGATCCGGGGTATGTTAATTTGTTAAAGTAAAGGAAACGAAAAAAATACCTTTGATACAGAGACCATGGACAGAGCCAAGATGTCATTGTCCCCGTGCGTGATAATAGGCATTGGGAGTTGTGCGCGTGGGCTTGCCTGACATTCCTCATCGTCTTCTCGCTCATCTTCAAAGCCACTGGACTTAACAGTATTATGAGGGGGATGTTTTATGGAGTCTGTGGAATACAAGGTCAGTGATTTAATAGAAGAAGAAAAACATACCAGCCACACCTCCAGCAGTTGCAGGGGCACTGTTCGGAGGGTGTGTTATGATATTTCAAGAGGCCATATCACACCACCCTTCACGGGGGCCACTTTGAGGGGGCTGCAAAAGAAAAGGTTGGGATCCTCTTTGAATCTTTTGGCTGATGGTCTGCATTTTGAAGGAAAGGGTTTTCGTATGAGATACATAATGTTGATGATTGGTTGATGAATGTTGAACATTGATTGGTAGATCCAGTTGAGTCAGCAAATTGTTGGGTGCTAATCACTAAGGCAGGACTTACCCTTCGTCATCACTACAGGCACATTGCTTGCTGTGACTCTGTTTCCCTCCCCCCAAACTGTCCTTCACATTCTCGAATCTCTGTGCAGCATCTGTCCCTTACTGACCTTTACCAGTGGTGAGTGATTATTATGTTCATTCTGACTGGCATCAACGTGAGCTATAATAAATGCTTCATCAGCACTTGTTATCCTGTGATTGAATAATATGCGAGTTACATGGTTGTGCTTGACTTGATGATTGAGACCCACTGCGGACACTTGGTTGAACTTGTTGAACTTGGTTCAGATATGTCCGAGTCAGTGCCTGTCACCAACTCATCATACGGCTGAATCTGTGACATACCTGAGTTTGGTGGACTCGCTGACCAAATTCCAGTACTTGGCTTCTGGGATACTTTGTTAATAGTGGGACTGGGTTGTCGCACTGCAAGCCTTTCTTTTTCTACATCCTCCATCTCCATGTAGATCTCGAGCTGAGCAACTTTTCCTGCAGCACAAGCCTTCTGTTCCTTTGCGGCTTTTTGGCCTCCTGGCTTCTTCACAGCACCAGCCTTCATCCTGCCGGTGGGAGCATCATTGTCATCGGCTGGCAACTTGGCATCAACAGCCTTTTGACGTTTGGATGGTAGGTCTGGTAATCCGGGTTGCTTGTTTCGATTTTCTACGTGAGTCTCCACCATTGCTGGATGTCGTCGACGTACTCAAGATAGAGCAACAAGTGAGCCGAGTACTGGTTGTACAAATAACAGTTACTTACACACCCAATTTTTTTTTGCAAAGTTCACTGAGGGACCACCACATTCATTTGTCACATTTTCACACATTCACACCAATGTGAGGCCCTACTATAGGACATCTACTATTCCCAATTACTAGTACTCAATACTATCTCTACATGCAGAGACTTATACTATGTCATTGCCTGCATTCCGCCCTCGAAAATATTACTGTACTGATGCTAAAGTTACAGCTTGCTGTCGTGGCTTTAAGACCTTGGGTGGATACCAACAACACCGCAATGCGCTACACATCGAGCCTCCCCAGCCTACTCGTCCACGCCAGCATACTTTTTCGGAATGCAAGTCTGATGCTGCGATGGAGACTGGACATAGTGACAATGAGGATACATACAGAGGATCCTACTATTGTCAACATCCTGTTCTCGATGGTTCACCGTGTGATGCTGTGGGTAACTATCTACTATCTGATGGCGATCCTCCCATCCTTGACCCGCCTGCTGAGGATAATCCATGGGCTCCCTTCCAGTCACGTAGCCACTTCCAGCTTGCGGACTTCATCTTCCGATGAAACCAGACGCCTGGTAAACAAATTGATGAGCTCATGCAGGTTCTAGTGTCTTTGAAGGAGTTTAATGGCAAGCCTCCATTTCATAGTGACACCCACATTTATGATACTATCGATGCCATCTCTTTGGGCAATATATCATGGCAATCTCTCTCACTTAAGCATGCTGAATTCGAGACTGCATCACCTGATGATGCACTGTGGAAGTGTAGCGAGTATGAGGTGTGGTTTTGAGATCCCCGTGACTTGATACAAAATCAGCTTGCCAACCCTGATTTCGTAAATGATATTGACTACTCAGCTCAGCAGGTATTTGGAGAGCAGGGTCAGCATGTATGGTCGGATTTAATGACAGGTAATTGGGCTTGGGATCAGTCTGCAAGTATATTCCAGTGTTCACTGACGGATTAATACTAATTATGTTTGTTTCATAGAATATACTAGCTGAAGATCCTGACTGTTGTGGCGCAATGTTTGTCCCCATCATCCTTGGGAGTGACAAGACTACAGTCTCCATGGCAACTGGCCAGAATGACTTCTATCCACTCTACATCTCTGCTGGGAACCTCCGCAATAATGTTCGTCGTGCACACAAGGAGTCCGTGAGCCTCGTGGGGTTCCTTTCAATCCCCAAGAGTATGTATACTAGTATGAGACTGCTAACAAAGCTGATGATCATGATAGCTGAGCGAGATCATGAAAATAGTGTGGAATTCCGGAATTTCCAACGACATATATTTCATGCCTCGTTACAAGCCATTTTAGAGGCTTTCCGTCCTGCAATGGAGAAACCAGAGGTTGTAAAGTGTGCGGATGGTCACTTTAGACATGTTGTGTATGGTCTCGGTCCATATATCGCCAATTATCCTGAACAGTGCCTGCTTGCCTGCATAATTCAGAGGTGGTGTGCACGGTAAGCTCTTCTTGAACCTCAAATTTCATTGACTTATGGTTTAGATGTACTGCTGATAGGCAGGATTTAGATTGCTTGGCCTCTGGTCGGCGATTGCACCAACATACAAAAGCTCTAATGCATGGTTATTCAGTGAGCGAGCTCAAGGATGGCTGGGGTATTCTCGGTAGCATCCTGGTGAGTACACATCAGCTCCTTGCAGTCCTTGGGTGTTAAAAGTGTGTAGCCATTCACAGCATACTTTCAGCGTGCAGACATCCACGATCTTCTTGCTCCGGATATCCTGCATCAAATTGTTAAAGGGACCTTTAAAGACCATATCGTGGATTGGATTGGTCAGTATCTTATTATCATTCATGGAGAAGCAGGGGCAGAACGAATATGGGCAGATATTGATCGCCGGTACTAAATATTTTGTAGTCAAGATCATTATACTGACATCCTTGATTCTAGCATTGCTGCAGTACCTGCATTTCCGGGTCTGCATCATTTTCCTCAAGGTCGAAAATTCAAACAATGGACAGGTGACGACTCAAAAGCTTTGATGAAGGTAAGAAGTCGTCTATTGATATCACTTGACAATCTTTGAATCAAGTTATAGGTATTTTTACCAGCTATCACGGGACATGTTCCCGACAAGATGCTTAGAGCTCTTTACCACTTTCTTGACTTCTGCTATTTGGTCCGTCGCTCAAGTCTCGACGAAGCCAATCTAGATGCCATGGATAAGGCCCTGCATACCTTTCACGAGGAGCGTCACGTCTTCAAGGATGTCGGTGTCACTCCAGATGGAATCTCTCTACCCCAACAACATTTTTTATGTCATTACCGTTATCTAACACAGCAGTTCGGTGCTCCCAATGGATTATGTTCCTCTCTCACAGAGTCGGAACACTGAAAGGTGGTCAAGGAATCCTGGAGATGCTCAAGTGGCTACTTACCCCTTGGTCAAATGCTGGTAAACAACCAACAGCTCGACAAACTCGCATCATTCCGAGCAGAGAAAACTGCTGCAGGTCTACTTGATCAACCTTTACTCCCACCTGGTGTCATTCCAATTGACCCAAATTGTGTTACAGTCGACATACACCCCTATTCATTTTCTCTTCTTACCTTGTATTACGTCATGATCGCCATCATAGCCATCGCTAGACTCATCTCTTATCATCAGCTGTATTACATCACGATCACATCATGCCATCGCTAGGTGATCTATTCTTGTTATCTCTGACTCGTTCTTATCTCTGACTTCATCGTACCAGCCCTAAAGCAGTTATTGTTCACTATATAAACTCGCTTTGTACTATGTAGTTCTTTACTTTAATCTTACTAGGTTTTACCTGGAACTTTCTTCGCTTAAGACTTCCAATCTTAAGTCGTCTGAAACTGATTCAAGTCAAGGACACTCTCCTTGCCTTGTCTTACAAACTCTTGTATACGCAAGAGTCTTGACTCGACCTTAGCCGAATACTCTTATCGAGTAGCTATTGTCGGAACTATCCTAGTTCATAACAAATTGTGATGGTAATTCAGACGTTTTGTATTGGCAGAAGTTTAATTGACCTGAATGTAGCACTGGACGACCCGAACTTCTTCATTTGCCGTGATGATCTGGACCTCAAAGATGCTGTTGCGGATGATGACAATGAGGCTCAGGTCATTGCACAATTAGCGAAGAGACGAGGTAGGATCTTTTGACTTTTGCCATGATACCCAAATCATTCTTTTCTTCAGCGCATGGTTATCCACAACAGCTCCAGGCGATTGGTGAACATATTGGCATTCCTCATTTTTGTGACCTTGTGCGCCAATTTCTGCATGATCAGCGCAATCCTGATCATGCTATACCCGTGCATGAAATGGATGTATCACAATGCCCGAACTTTAACGGCAAGGTGGATGTTTTTCATTCCGCAGTTGCATCGTTTCATGCTGCTAGTGACAGTTGCGGAGTTAATGGCATGATGTGTCATGCCTTCCGTGCTGCACCTAACTGGCGTGGTGGTCGTCCTCGCCACAATTGTGTTTTTTGTCGAGCATGATCCAACCCTGCCAGGATTTCAGGGTCTCTATGTCGCACAGGTCATCCTCTTATTCTCATTCACCTTTCGAGGTGTACTGTATCCTTGTGCACTCATTCACTGGTTTTTGACCATTGGCAATCAACCATGCCCTGAAACTGGTATGTGGATGGTCAAGCCAGAACTCGACGCCGACAGTGGAGAATGCCTCATTTCAGTTGTTCATCTAGAAACCATCGTGTGACCAGCACACTTGATCCCCGTTTACGGTTCACATTTACTTCCTCATGATATCACTCATTCGGATTCTTTGATGGCATTTGAAGCATTCTACATAAACAAGTATTCGGATTATCATGTGTTTGAAATTGCGTTTTGATTAGCAGCTTAACCTCCAACTTGTAGCACAACATTGTATTAATACATATTCATGTTCAACCATTGAATATAGTCACTTTCGAGTTCAGGATAATCCCAACCTTGTCCTCAGAGCTTGCAGATCTCGCATAACTTCTGTTACAAAATTAGCTGTGACCCGTTAGTCTACTACTGCAGCCAGATCACTGGTACAAGCAGTACTTCATTAATTTGGCACCAAGTCTAGCACTTCATTCCTTCGACATTCTACCAGTACTTTCATCAAGAATCATTGCTTCAGTATTTCTGTACTCTCTCCGTGATTCTTCTCATCAACACTAGTACTAGTAGCAGGAGCCTGAGGTCCATTAGTATTTCATTCAACATCAAATCACATTTAGCTATACTGCTGGTGTGTACCAGTAACGGTATATAAGTCTGCAGAGCATTTCAACTCCACGGCAATGAAGGTGAGTACTGCTACTACTAGTTTTGTAAATTGTCGCTGACTCGGACTTGATAGGTTCAAATTTTGAATGTGCAATAGTATCTCCACTCCGTGTCTAATATCAACCATGGCTCCTCTTACTAGTACTAGTAGTAGGTGTCTCAGGTTTTTTTCTGCAGTACTACTGACACTTTGGTCACCCCCTTACAGACACCTCTTAGGTTGATTGTCAGCTACAGAGGTTTCACCTAAGAGGTGCTTTTCTGCTGGTCTGCCCGGTGTTCTGTGGTCTTTCCCTGTTGTGCTTGGGGACCAAAGGCCATGGACCATACATGAACCAAAGACCATTGGGAATTATGATATGGGAGTACCACAGGATGATTTGGACCACTTGAATTCTATATGATGCAGGGGCGTCTAGGGTCCTCAAATGCCAATTTCTTTGGAAAATTCTCACTATATGTATTGCATCTATGCCCTGCACCCTCCATACACCTAACAAATATTCTTATATATAATTGAACAATATATCTGGTGGGTATATGGAAAAATGAAAGTCATTACTTTAATTGAACTTCTTAATGAAAGTTGTAGTATGTGTTAAGGCGAGTCTATATGTGATCATACCTTATCAAAATTTGAAGGGAAGGTGAGATATGGCCATAACAAAAATCGTTGTCGGGCTTGTTTACAAAAACAAAAGTCATTATCCTTGATGAAAGTTGTAGTCCTAGTGAGGGTAGGTCTATACCTGCACATATTTTGTCAATTTGCTATCATTTGGAAAAGATATAAACTTTGTGCAAAAACAATAAACAGGGAAGACCACATGCTTAATGGGAAAGACCATAGGCATAATATTCATCTAATAGGGAAGACCACAGGTGTGATATTCATCTAATAGGGAAGACCATAGGCGGAATATTCATCCAATAGGGAAGACTACAGGTGCAATATTCATCTAATAGGGAAGACCACATTTTTAATGTCTCAGGCTGATTGCTGTACCAGGTATTTTCAAATGTTTCGGAGCAGGATTATCATTATATCCTGAATGCAATTGAATCCGACAATAATCTCATTCACAAGTATGCCTTCTCTCCACCTACCATGTCTAAGCTGATCCAGCACTTTCTCCAGACCATCATACATTCCTCGTCTCCAAACACTCTCTGTCAACCTGCCAACTCCAGTCCATGAATCCATTCTGGTGCCCCTGCACACTGCAATGGGAAACATCATTGCATCTTTACCACTTCCACCAGCACTTCATACTGCCCTCCACGTGCACATGAACACGATGGTCGAAAAGGGGGAAGATAACGAGGATGATGAAGACAAATGTAATCTTGGCATCCCCGACATGCTAATCCAATGCGAGACGAGAGATGTGGAGTTCCATTCATTATGGCCATTCGAAATCTCATTTTCACAATCCTCAGAGGTGGCAGAAATGAAGATACAACTTTTCGCGGACAAGAACCCCCACATCGAGGGGGCCACCCATTTCCACATCACTGAGGCAGAAAAAACACACCTTACCAAGCGACAAATGGGTAATCGAGCAGGATTTAGACAAGAAGAAGGTTGGGCACATTAAAGAGGCCAGTGGGAGTGCAAGTGGTGATGGGATCTCGTCTTGCTCACACATTTGGCTGCAACCCCTCATGATAACTGTTACAACTTGGCTCCACCCCCCCAATGGACGGTTGAGAATAGCCAATCATCATTCACAATATCTGTCGGAGATTTTTCATGAGCATTGTAATGCTCCCGCATTTTAATGTGCCTTGGGGTTATTTTAACCACCATCATGACTACATTATGTTGTGATTACAACGTCTAGACTGAGTTTCAATGTCCTCTCGATAAGCATAGTATGTGTGTGTAACGCACATTCATCTAAATCCACCACCTGCGATAGACCCCAATGCCCAAGATGCTGCCTGAAAAGTGGCAGTGATCATCTGAGAGTACCCACTGCAATATTTGTGGTTTAGAAATTCGAACTCGCGGATTAGCATCTCACTTAAAGAAGTGTGAAAGGCAAGATCAGGAACAGCGGGAGGATGAACAACTTGCTGATATAGTTTGGATCGCCGAGAAAAAGGGTAAGCTACCAAATGTTCTGAAGTACTAACAGATATATATTTTGACATAACGGTACAGAGTGTCACAAGGAATGTTGAAGGCTTCTTGAACAACAGCAAAGTCTTCAGAGCACGCACATTGGATCTGCAAGTGAGTACACCACTTCCAGTGATTTTCTTTCTGTTATGAATATTCTGGTATGATTATGTAGTAAACCCTGTTACGATCTGGGCAGCACAAGATGAAGGCGGTGTGATAGAAAATGAGGGTATAGAGAACAATATTGGTATGATTTCCCCACTTTTTGAATTTGTAAGACTGACTACATTTTATCTACATCAGACATGCAAGGGTCGTCGCCACATAGACGTGAATCGATTGACTTTGACCATGCTGTGTTACCCGATGTCCCTGACCTTGATCATCCCAATGAGCTCCCTTATGAAATCAATGACATTAAAGTTGAGTACCATCCACACAGCAAACATCCTTCAACTATACATCACTTTTCTGATTTTTCCCGTGATCGCCCTTCAGAGGGTCAGGTACCTCGAAAAGACTCACCATGGGAGCCCTTCCGGACGCGACTGGACTTCGAAATCGCAGAGATCGCGCTTGAAGCTGCATTTACCAAGGAGCAGACTGTCACGAACTAGGATGGTTCAGACATATGGCTACTCGATAAGAGTAATCGGCCAAGGTCGGTTCAAGGCTTCGGCGTATACCGAAGTTCAGTGGTTCACTAAGACAAGACAAGGAGAGTGTCCTCGACTTGAATCATGTTCAATACGACTTAAGATTGGAGGTCTTAAGCGGAAGTTCCAGGTAAAACCTAGTAAGATTAAAGTAAAGAACTACATAGTACAAAGCGAGTTTATATAGGGAAAGGTAACTGCTTTAGGGCTGGTACAACGGAGTCAGAGATAACAAAAATAGATCATCTAGCGACGGCAAGATGCGATCGTGATGTAATACAATGATGTAAGAGAAAGAAAATGGATAGGGGCGTACTTGACTGTAACATTACCCCGTTGTTATCGTTGAAGTCACCGATTTCAACAACCAAAATTATTGTAAGCGTCATAGTTGTCACGATCACCTGCACATTGAACGAACAGTCTCTCGTCTTCTTCGATCGAGATTTGCTCCATAGTGGCGTCTTTATCAGCCTCCCATCTAGAGAGGGCCTCATAGAAACCGTCATCCGTCCACACTAATGGGATAGGCTTTTCTCCCTTAAGGTCTTTGCAAAAGATGGAAAGATGTCCTGGCGCGAGATTACGGCATACGCGGCAAAAGTACGTGGGGCAGTTCTTGTGACGATGGCCGACAAGATTACAGTTGCAGCAAGTAAAGTTATCGTAAGGTTCGGTCTTTACGATGGTGACGGAGGATGATTGTGGAGGTGGGGACGGTGTCTTGGAACGTAGAGTGTTGTTGCAAGAAGGTGGGGAGGCGGAGATCTCTCTCTTGGAGGGTCGTCGACGGGTGGGACGTATATGAGGAATTGTTGCCGCCGGGGCAGACGTAGTAGTAATTGGTATGATTGGTACAGTAGGAGGAGTGATAACATTAGGCGTATGCTCAACGGGAGTTGGTATCTCAACCGGAGGTAGAATGGGAATTGCGACATGTGGGGATGGTGGTCTAGCGATTGGGTTTGTTGCAATTCGTTCAGTGATGATATGGATTGCCTCTCTAACAACCTCTTTGGTAGAGGAAGGCATAAGACGTATTGCAGTGTTGCGAATGCGTATATGAAGGTGACGGAAAATGGTCTCAAGGCGTTCGTCATTGAGAAGTCCTGCAGTGCGTTTAACAACATTGGCGGCGCGGATGATGTTAATGAGGAGTGTGCTAGAGAGGGCTCCTCGTTCAGCGAGGAGGCGGTCTATCTCGATAGCGTATTGTTCAGAAAGGAGAGCGGATTCAACTAAGGTGTTGGTTTCAATGTCGTCAAGAATAGTGAAGTAGTTTGGGGATTTGATGGTTTCGGACAATGTAACGGACATTGTGGATGGGGAAGCAGCGAGGCTTGTGGACATATTATCAATGGCTTTTACAAGAATTTGGAGTTGTAGGAGACAGATTTGAAGAGTGTGGAGTTCTGAGAAAGACATCTTTTCATTCAGATTCTTATAACTGGTGGGCTTTCTTATAGGCAGCAAGGATTGCAGAAGCATTGCCGAGGTTCTCTGTGGGAATCCATTCGTTACTGGCGGAAGAATATCCTTTCCAGGATACGAGATAGCGTCTTCGTTTACCCGTGCCTTTGTGCGATAAGATTGCTTCGACTTCGTATTCTTCTTCGTTATCGATGATATTGGGTGGAGGATCAGGGAAGTTAGGACCATGGATTTCAGTTTTGTGATAGGATGATAGTTCGGAAGCATGGAACGTGGGGTGAACCTTCCATTGCTTGGGTAACTGGAGTGTGAACGTGATCGGTGATAATACTGCGGTGATGGTAAAGGGGCCGTATCGTTTTGGAGCGAGTTTTCGTGATGGTAACTGCATGATAAGGTTCTTTCCTGATAACCAAACCTTGTCGCCAATTTTCCATGGTTGATACTTCTTTCCATATGATTGTGCGGCCATTTGCTGCATTGCGAGATTATGACAAGAGATAGCTTCTTCACGTATCTTCTGAAGAAGGTGAAGCCATTCTTCTGTGGCTGGTACAGTAGAATCTGGGAGTACGTGAGGGAGAGCCCATGGCTCGTATCCCATCATAAGGAAGAATGGGGATGCATTGTGAGAGTCGTGTTTGCGGTGGTTATGGACGAATTCGGACATAGGGATGTGTTCAACCCATTCTTCTGGGTTATTGCAGCAATAGATTCGGAGATAGGTCTCTAGTTCTTGATTCAAACGTTCAGTTTGACCGTCCATTTGTGGATGATAAGTGGTGGAAGCGGCGATGTCATATTTCAAAAGCTTCGCAAGGGCTTTAGAGAATTTGGATACAAATTGTGGATCTCGATCCGAGATCACCTTCTCGTGGAGTCCGAAGCGGCGGTAGACGTATTTGAAAAACTTCTTTGCTATGCCTTCTGAAGTGATGGTTTTCGTACAAGGAATAAGAATTACCCCCTTCGTAAGCCCATGGTCTACCACGACCATGATAGAATCGAAGCCATTGCAAGGTGGTAAATCAGTGATGAGGTCGACGGAGACTTGGGAGAACGGGGTGGAGACCGAAGAGGGGATAGGAACCAGTGGAGGAGTCGTAGGATGGGTATCAGATTTCATTTGCTGACAAAGGGCGCAACCCTCAACGTATTTCCGGATATAAGTTCCCATAGATGGCCACCAAAAGTCGTGTTTAACCAATTCTTCGGTTTTGAAGCGACCGGGATGCCCTGCCGTGGCGTGATCATGGGTTTGTTCTAAAATAGAGTGGCATCCGGCTGGTCGGACGTAGGCACGGTCTTTATAGAATAAGACGTCATCCTTAATCGTCCAGTCAGAAAGAGCCAACTTCATAGGAGGGAGACAAAGGCCATTCAAAGCATCAGAGGCGGCTTGGAAGATGGGGTCGGTGTCATCAGGATCAGGGTTTGCAAGGGTGGTCATGAGTTCTTGATCAAGAAGTCGGACGAACATGGAGTCTGGGAGAAGCGTCATATCTTTGTTATCTATGGTATCTGGCGCATGATCAGGCCGTCGAGATAAGGCATCTGGTGCGGCGAGTTTGGTTCCTGGTACATGATGGAGTTCGATGTCGTAGCATGAAAGAAGAAGTTGCCATCTTGCTTGACGACGGGTTAACTTCTGTGCAGTACGAAAATAGAGGAGGTTCTTATGATTGGTGAATACGATAACCGGATGTGGGTTTCCTTCTAAATAATGACGCCATTCTTGAAGTGCGCGGATGACAGCGAGGAGTTTGTGATCGAAGATCTGATAATTACGTTCTGCCGGGTTCAAGGATTGGGATAGATATCCGCAGGGGTGATACACGCCATTTTCATTGGTCTGTAACAAGATGGCACCGGTTGCAACAAGAGATGCATCGGTGGCTATTGCAAATTGTCGTGATGGATCAGGGTTATGGAGGACAGGTTGTTTCAGGAAGCACTCCTTGAGTGTCGTAAACGCTTCTTGGCAGGGTGTGGACCAAAGGAAGACATTATCTTTCTTTGTAAGATCAATAAGAGGTCGTGCGATATTGGAATAATGAGGGATAAAGTTTCGGTAGAAGTTACAGAATCCAAGGAACGATCTGGTTTCTTTAACAATAGATGGGGTTGGACAATCGCAGATTCCATCGGTCTTGGCAGCATCCATGGCTACACATCCTGGGCGAATAATCATACCGAGATATTCGACCTCCTGCGCGTCAAATATACACTTCTCTGGTTTCAGGAAGAGTCGTTCTTCACGAATCTTCATAAGAATGCGACGGGTACGGGCGTGGTGTTCATCAAGGTTATCTGAAAAGATGAGGATATCGTCCATATAGATCACCAGCCATCCTTCATTAATCTCCTGTTGGAATGTGCGGTTCATATAGGCTTGAAATGTGGCTGGGGAGTTGCAAAGTCCGAAGAACATGACATTCGGTGAAGGATCTTCAACTCAGCTGAGGGTGCAGCTGATATAATTGTTGAAGGGAGGAAAATATGAGTGCGATATGTTCGTCCCTTAGGGGAAGCGGAGAAAGCAAATATCCACTGGTCAACTCTAGGGGGAATGCGCAAAGCGCGTGATAAGGCGAAAGCGCGGGAACAAAGGCGCTATAGGCGCGCGAAGCGCGGGAAAGTCGCGCGTCGAAAAGCGGAACTGGGTGAAAGCGGTATGCGAGCGATAGTGAGATGTTAAGACGTGTTCTGAGATGCTGATAAGACAACTGATGCGGATATGGCCACTAGAGCTAACTGCTACTAGGGCTTGCAATGATTTATTCAAAACATAATAAAAACTCAGAGATGGTGACTGTCTATGATGATGGTGGTCCGTGGTAATGTGTGTTGTGTAAAGTAAAAAAAAATGTGTCATGAAAAATGTGTACCAAGTGAAAATAAACATGGTACGATGTTGAAATAAATGATAAATGGAGAAATGCATACCTGGGAACTTGGTTGGACATGGGAAAACACAGTGGGAAGTCAGGCGCCCTATAGCGCTTAGGCGCGGGAAAATTCGCCTAAAGCGTGCGCAAGTCGCGGAAGTGTCGCCTATGTCGCGGAAGTGTCGCCTATGTCGCGTGCGTCGCGCGAACGTCGCGTTTATTGCGCAAGTGTCGCGTTGCATGCATATTACTGTAGACTCGACCTATGTTGCAATATATGCCATTGTGAGGCTACTCAGGATCGAGTCTCTACATCGGTTCATAGAGTCCAAATTCGGTAGTGAATGCGGCCTTCCATCTGTCATCAGGGTGAATACGGATGTTGTTATAACCGGATCAGACATCCATCTTGGTGAAATACTTTGCTCCGTGTAGCTGTGTGACGAGGGATAGGGGAAGTGGCAATGGATAAGCATTTTTGACCATCCAATCATTGATGTACCGATAATCTTGACAGGGTCGGAGATCTCCGCTTTTCTTTCCCACAAAGAAGAATCCGCTGGCTTGTGGCGATTTAGATTCCGAAATAAAACCTTTCTTCACATTTTCATCAATGAATGCTTTGACAGCGGTTCGTTCAGCGACGGAGAGAGGATAGATTTTCGACGTTTTTGGAATGAATCCGGGCTTTATTTCAATACAGTGGTCAATACCGGGTCGTTCAGGGGGCAATTGGTTAAGACCGTCTTTAGCGAAGATGTCGGCAAAATCGTGTAGGTAGGAGGGTACAAGTTCTTCAAAAGTTTTCTTCTTTTGTTCTAAGCCCGCAGCTAGAGTGAACTGCTGAGCTTTGTTACTAACTTTCGCGTATTTGGTAGGCCGTGGCAGGGGTTTAACCATGGGTTTCCGTTCCAAATGACTGGTTCCGTCGGAGGTTAATGGTGTATCCATGGTGGTATTTGAAATTACCCGGAGTTCTGACGCGTCAGCGGAATATTCAGCCAAAAACTCGTCATCTTTTAGATCATACGTAGAGACTTCTCGCACTGGTGCGGCAAAGTTCTCTTGCATCCAGACATCTTCCTTAGTATCAAAGGTTTCATCGTCGTCATCGGGGATGGGGAGTAGATCGGGAATGGGAAGAATGGATGGTGCTTCTTCGTCAACAATTTCTTCGATAGTCACTTTTGGAATGACAGGGGTTTCGATAATTGGTGCTTTCCTAAGTTTGGATTGCTTCCAGGTCCGGTCGATGGTTTCTTGTCGAAATAGAAGTGGAAGGTCATTCTTCTTCCTTTCTTTGTCGACTTCTTCTTCAACTTGATTGCTCTTCTCTGTTCGAGAAAGAACAAGGGTTTCGGCTGCCCAGTCAATAACCGGGTTCATAGCCCGTAGCCAGGGAATTCCAAGGAGAATTTGGTCTCTTCTGCCGAGACGCGTGACGTTGAACTTTCCAATCATGGTTCTTTCGTCAATTTTGATAGTAAGAACGCAGTATCGGCGTATGGCTCCGCTTTTGGAGTAGCTTCCATCGGCGGTAGTAACCTTGAAGGGTTTACTGAGAGCGTGAGTTCGGATCTTGTGCTTCTTGACGACGTCTTCTGAGATAAAAGTTCCAGCTGCTCCGGAATCGACAACTGCGGTGGTTTCAACGGTTTTCAGACGTGTTTTCGAAATTAGGGAAAGGGGAACCCGGAGTTCTTTTTGTTCACCAACTTTTCGTACAAGTCTTATGGGTACATCAAGAAATACTGACGTTGATCCAGTCTCCCATATTAAAAATCCTCGTTGAGACGACAGACTTCTGCTTCTTCTTCTTCTTCATCACTGCTTTCTACTTCTTTGTGGTGTATCAGGGTCTTTCCTTTCTTCTTCTCAGGACAGTTTTTGAAAAGATGTCCGGTCTTGTGACAGATGAAACATTTTCCGGTTCGGAAATGCTCAGCGCGTTCTTCTTCAGAAAGCCAATCGATCACCATGGTGTTAGGATCTTTAGATGGTACGTATCGGTTAGATCCGAAGTTCTTCTTCTTCGGGGTTTGGTGGCGTGCCCTGATGGCGTTCAAGTGGAGGCGTGAATTGTTGAGATTGATGCAGGTGGTAAGGACGACTTCGAAGTCGTCAGAGACGTAACCCGTGCCATAGAGGCGAGCGAGCAGTCCTGGATGTAATCCGTCTAAGAAGAATTGCTTCTTAGCGACATCACCTTGGATTCCTGCCCTTCGCGCGAGCATCAGGAATTCTGAGATGTAATCTTGGAGTTCGGTTCCCTGTTTCAGATTGCGAAGCTTGGCTAACGCGGTTCCCGAGAGATCAAGCGGTTTAAATGCGCTCTTGAAATCGGCGAGGAATTCGGCCCATGTACCGTATCCTTTGACGAGGCCTGCAGTAGTCTTGTTGTTGGGATCTTGCGCTTGTCTGAGGAAGTCTTCCTTCCAGTAGTGCGCGTTTCCTTCGTTCATGAAGGAGGTTACGAAAATAATTTTCTGTTTGTCGTCGACGTAGATCTTCTCGTTGATGTCGAGATAAGACATGCATGACATCAAAAATCCTTCGGATTTATCGCTCTCCCCATCAAAGACTGGGGGAGATCCGATCTTGATTTCAATAGGTTTGGTGGAAGACATTGGTGGATTCAGAGGTGGTATAGGTGGTAAGGCACCTAGGTTCAAAGCGCCAAAGATTGGTGTTAATGACGTCAGCTTGTTTCAGCTTCTCGAGGGACCTGGAGTTCTATCTGTCGTGATGACCAGGGTTTGTTCTTTCTGGGTTACAATGCGTGATGGCGATGTATTCGTGGAAGACTTTAATCTTTTGTTACGAACTAGGATGGTTCAGACATATGGCTACTCGATAAGAGTAATCGGCCAAGGTCGGTTCAAGGCTTCGGCGTATACCGAAGTTCAGTGGTTCACTAAGACAAGACAAGGAGAGTGTCCTCGACTTGAATCACGTTCAATACGACTTAAGATTGGAGGTCTTAAGCGGAAGTTCTAGGTAAAACCTAGTAAGATTAAAGTAAAGAACTACATAGTACAAAGCGAGTTTATATAGGGAAAGGTAACTGCTTTAGGGCTGGTACGACAGAGTCAGAATGAGTCAGAGATAAGACGGAGTCAGAGATAACAAAAATAGATCATCTAGCGACGGCAAGATGCAATCATGATGTAATACAATGATGTAAGAGAAAGAAAATGGATAGGGGCGTACTTGACTGTAACACAGACAAACCAGTTGCTTGACCTTGTTCATCGATCTGCCAGCGGCACAGACACATTTACATTGCAGAGTCATGATGAGATTTGCTCGCTATGGGAAATGGCTTCGCAGCGTTATACACTGGTGATTGTTTTCATTTTGTGTATTTCTCAGGGCTGATTAATACTTAGTGTACACTAGTTTCAAAAGGATGTAGTATCTGTTGAGCACTGCGATGAGACACACGAGTTTGAAATGCACTATCGCCCCCTCTGGGACTGGGTGCTTGATCTATTGCAAGACAGCCGCCTCACATACCACTTTGTATTTGATGCACAACGTCTTTCCAAATTCAATGGAGAGCAATTTGTCTGCTTCATAGATGAATCATGGACTGCTGATGCCTTCTGGAATGCACAAGTATGTCTTGTAGGTTCTTCTTAGTCTATCATTTGATCAGTGTTATAGTCTCAACTTCCGCCGGATGCAAAGCCGCTTGCATTCACTCTATATGCCGACAAAAACAAATTATCTTCTTTCGGGACTGCCAAGGGCTATCCAATTATTGCCCGTATTGCAAACCTTCCCGTTCACATTCGTAATGGCAACACAGCCCTAGGAGGAGGTCGTGTTGTTGGTTGGTTGCCGATTTTTAGTATCTTACAATAAGTGTTGCTACTAGTATTGTTACTGACTATTTCACTAGGTCGCTGAGGATCAACAACATACCAGAAAGAAGAGTTTTGTAGACTTCAAAAATGCAGTGTGGCATAAGTCATTCTACCGACTCCTCCATTCAATCAAGCTGCACTCAAAAACCGGCCACTGGTTTGAATGTGAGGCATATGACAATGTCATGTATTCAGTTTCGTCGGCCCATAAGTTTACATCAGTACCATCGGCCAACATGATGGTGTCAGCTATTTACAAGGAAATACATACATGATGCCCACATGTCGGCTGAAAGACCTGATACCATCATGTCGGCTGAATATACTGGATGCCTGATATTATCATATGGGCCAACAAAACAAATACCTGATGCCATCATGTCGACCGATAGACCTGATACTATCATGTCGGCTGAATATACTAAATGCCTGATATTATCGTATGGGCTGACGGAAATGAATTCCTGATACCATCAAGTCGGTCGATGGTACTGATAAAAATGTATGGGCCGACAAAACTGAATGCCTGATGTTATCGTATGGGCCGACAGAAATGAATTCCTGATGCCATCAGGTCAGCCGATGGCACTGATGAAAATGTATGGGCCGACAAAACTGAATACCTGATGTTATCTTATGGGCCGATGGAAATGAATGCCTGATTCCATCAGGTCGGCCGATGTAACTGCCTAATGTTATAACATGGGCCGAGGATATTGAATACCTGATGCTATCAGATCGGCCGATGAAACTGATGCGAACATATGGGCCGACAAAACTGCATATCTGATGCAATCACATTGGCCAAGAACATAAACAGGTATTCATGTCTCTCGGCCCATATGATGGTGTCGGCCTTTTATTCCAATCGGCCCATATGATGGCATCATACCCACAATTTCCAGACCAATCCACACAGGAACATATATGCTTCACCCCCGTCATCGGCTGATCGGTACACACAGTAGCTATAGTGTGTGGGCCCAGCTGACAATATCTCACCACCGATTTCACTGGCCCTTGGCCGACATGTTAATGTTGAGCATCCCAATGCATGGGCCCAGCTGTTTAAAACCATTACTCCATGAGCCCACCAGCTGAATGTTAAACACAGACATAGATATTTGGTTGGCCGACGTCCGCTGGCCTGTGTGAAACAGCATATTTTCAACATTTGCTGCATGTATAATACATGCAATGTGACTGAATGGGCTCAAGCTTCATCAAGTCAATCTAAGAAGCACAGGACTATGCCCAAGGTCTGAAGATCAGGTAGGGCAAGGCAACCTTCTAAGAAAGCCCAGAAGATATAACCTTGTATCCTACATTGCCTTTATTGCTAAGTACAATAATTATATCTACTTGTCAAGGCTTGGGCTATAATTAAACCGGCCAGTGCAAAGGTTCAGACCTACAAACTGGCTAGCTCTGCCTCTACATAGGTAGATGCACACTGGCTGGTGTACTAGGTCCAGACCTACAGGCTGGCCAGCATTGCTTCTACATAGGTAGATGCAGACTGGCCAGTGCAAAGGTTCAGACCTACAAACCGGCCAGCCTTGCCTCTACATAGGTAGATACAAACTGGCCGGTGCACTATGTTCAAACCTACAGGCCGGCCAGCCTTGCTTCTACATAGGTAGGTGCAAACTGGCCGGTGCAAAGGTTTAGACCTACAAACCAGCCAGCTTTGCCTCTACATAGGTAGATGCAGACTGGCCAGTACACTAGGTTCAGCCTATAAGCCGACTAGCCTTGCTTCTACATAGGTAGATGCAATGAGTACTAATGAATAGTACTGTAGTACTGGCTGGCCTATATATGATCTTTGTGATAACACTCAATATAATACATAGTCTATCAAAAGTAGTGGGGGATATGAGACCGGCCAGCACCTATGCTACATGTTAACCTAGTAGTAGGTAAGGATACTAAGGATAATGTTACGAACTAGGATGATTCCGACAATAGTTACTCAATAAGAGTATTCAACTAAGGTCGAGTCTAGACTCTTGCGTATACAAGAGTTTGTAAGACAAGGCAAGGAGAGTGTCCTTGACTTGAATCAGATTCAGACAACTTAAGAGTGGAGATCTTAAGCGAAGGAAGTTCCAGGTAAAACCTAGTAAGATTAAAGTGACGAACTACAGTGTACAAGATGGGTTTATATAGAGAACAACAACTGCTTTAGGGCATGTATCAGTGAGTAGAAATGAGTCAGCAATAAGAGATGAGTCAGAGATAAGAGACAAGTCAGAGATAAGAAACAAGTCAGAAATAAGAGACAAGTCACCTAGCGACGGCTCGATAGTGATCATGATGTAATACAATGTAAGAGAAAATGAATAGGGGCGTACTTAGACTGTAACAGATAATGAATTGAGCTGGCCAGCAGTTATTTTACATCTACCGGCCAGCCATGCTGGTGCTAGTACATTATGATATACAGTGGACTATATAAGGCTAGCCGGCATGTATTCTACATGGACCAGCTGAGGACTGGCTGGCCATGGTTCTACTTTACTTTTACTGGTCGGCCATGCTTTTAGCACATCCTATTACATTATTGTATATAGTGGACTATATAAGGCTAGCCAGCATGTATTCTATATGGACCAGCTGAGGACTGGCTGGCCATGATTCTACTTTACATGTACTGGCCAGCCATGCTTTTAGCATGTGCTAGTACATGATATATAGTGGACTATATAAGGCCAGCCAGCATGTATTCTACATGGACCGGCCAAGGACTGGCTGGCCATGTTTATACAAGGTTTTGGCACATCTGGGGCACTGGTTCTACGTTGGAAAATGACTGAAGTATGTGCTTTCCGAGGCTGCAGTCATTAACTCATTTCTCTGGCACACATTTAGGCCTATTCCTGTCACACACCCTACACCATTGTTCTGTATTTTTCGTGAATGCAGATCCGCCCCAATCTATTATGGTTCCCAGTGCTGCTTTGGAGAACTTATCCATCAAAGCTTTCTACAAGAGCACAGTAGATCAGCTGTCCATTCTGTCTGACCATGTACGTTTATTCAAGCAGCTTGTAACTCTGTCCTGTCCACCGCTTGACTGGGCTGCATGGAAGCATCTCTCTAATCTCACCACCCTGGTTGAAGTGGGAATTTGTGAAGTGCACGGTCATGGCACACTTCCGAGTCCTTGGCTGTTGGATTTGCACATTGTCAATTTCTCACCATTTCTTAATCTCACAACTCTTTCATTCATGGTAGACAGTGCTGCATACATTACCACAATCCTGTAACACTCACAATTCCCCTCATTGAAAAGGTTCTGGATCATGATCGAAGTTGTGTCTTCGACAGAGGCTGAGTGACTCTTTCATGCGCTGTCCCACTACAAACAGACCCTGGAACATCTTACTGTTATCTTGAGCAAATATCACGACCTCCAAAACAACTATTTGACAGCGATTACGCATCTCCATTGCTTCACATAGCTCCGATTTCTTCAGCTCGATTGACCTGATTCCTCCATCTACCTTGACAACAACCTTCTCTTAGAAGCCATGTCAGCTTGGCTGCACATCCACACTCTGAAAATAGAAGGCTGCGGTATTAGTCCTTCCATTACATTCCATGGATTATTTACAGTGCTGCGTCAATGTCCACAATTGGAATCACTCTGAGTGTTGATTGACACTGTGAATATTGATATTGATCCTAATGCTGAGCCAATGCAACACACGTCCTTATGATCATTGGACTTTGAAACATCCTCTCCCATAGGAAATGCTGAAGTTCTCACTCGCATCATTTTTGCCTGGCTCCCTTGCATCAACCAAGTTAACAAAGTCACAGATGATTGGGAGCCTTGGGATGAAGTCAACATACATCTCATATCTTTGAGAGCTGCTGCACAGTGTGTTGTAGGAGGTGCCTTGAATACCTGACTAATTGATGTATTACATGGGTTTTCATACCTTTTTGTTGTAGTTATCCGTGAACAATTCATATACTATCATTCCAGGTAATCTGCAACTTTTTCAGCAAATCTTTTGTAGCTCGTCAACCACTTCATGTATCTTCCACGAATTTAGTGTGTTGTAGATTCATACTGCCTCTATATTGATCTGATTTTTGCTCATTTTTAGGACATTATGGTGTGGTGTTGGATGAAAGCCGAGAAGAAACTTCAGGGTCTGACTGCTAATCTGCAAAATATGGTCACATCGAGTCACACCTCAGCATACCACTGGTGCAGTCAACTTTGACTAGTTGACTCTCCGCAGCTCTCTATTTGTTGGCGTTCAGTCGTTGCACTGGAAGCTCGAAGCTTGAAGTTGTGCAAAGCTCTGAAAAATAATAAATACAGCAATATATTATTATTAAGTATCTGAGTCGTGATTCATGTAATTATTGTGATTGTACTGGTGATATGGTCCTGAATAAGGTTGACCACGTGCAACATCATACATCTGTACCTCACCACCAACTCAAAAATCCACTCTACTACCAGCCGCTGTTGCAAAGTGAAGAATAGGTGGGGGCTGAAGCTGAAGCACCAAATGGTGCATGGGATAATATGGGAGCACATACCTGCCGTGTGCGTGACATCAAGGATTGAGGGATAGGCTGCGGTTGAATGGTGCTTGTATTGAATTGGCATGTCTTGCGGTACTGACTCAGTAGTGTTATTGTTGGTTTCAACATGCCGCCTACAAGAACAGGGGGAATCATTAACCAAGTGTGCCATAGAGGAGATTCAAGATGACCTTTATCAAAATTGTGTTCTGTAATCCTGATGAGATGATTGTTATGCTCCAGGTATAACTTTGTGAATATACCTACAGGATCTATGGGATCTGGATGATTTATGTTCCTGCATGGTTACAATTACTAATATTTCATCTCTTGCAGCTGCAACACACAGGAAATTTTCATTCTACTTGGACAGTACATCATATATCAGTAGTCTACATATGCCTGAATTTTTTGAAGTAAGTCGAGCAGTGCATTGAGGTGCTTTGAACATTTTGCATATGACATGCATGTTGCAGATTACCCGGTGTCATGCATGGTATGTGATCCATACCATGACATATGCACAACAACAGTGACAGGGAAGGTAGAAGACACCTGACTGATTCCTATCACCAAGTTACCTTATCATTTTTAATTCATTTCTTAGCTAGTATTTCACTTTCAAACTTCACTTCTATTTTCCATGTATTTCTATTTTGTTCCATGAGATTCTATCTCTTTCTATTTTCTAGGCACATTTAGCCACCAGACTTTTCCTCAAGCCACCAAACATGTTAGTAATCATGTCATGTGACTGGGAAATACTCTGATTTGAAAGGATTCAACTTGACTCATCATGTTTGGTCATGATTCGTCATGCTTTGTAAAACTTGCAACTGTATTTGTAATCCACTTAGTAATAAGGCCAATTCAGCACACTTAAGGACTTGGTTTGTAAGCACATTCTTACCAATCCATGGGATGACTCATGCTTTTCATTCTTTGTAATACTACACTTCATTTTGTATGTACATTAGTAAACAAGCTGACTCAACACAAGTTTGTAAGCACATTCTTACCAATCTATGTGATGAATCATGCTTAGTAAGATGGCCTCCCAAAAGGTATATAAGGAGCCCATTTTCACCCATGTAATACAAGCTTCCCACTTAACACTCTTTTCTCAAACTGTGTGAGAACCAGTAAGATCTAAGTGCAGGCCATTCAGCAGCCTTGAAGTTAAGCATAAGAAACATCTATTCAGGTTATATACTACCTTACAGGGGTTGACTATATAACAATGTACAGCTACAGAGCTAAGTTCTACCAGCACTACTTTTCTCTCTCTTTTTCAGGAAGGGAGACACGAATCACGAGATATATTTCATGAATCCATGGGCACACACTTGCCATAACATGTACAAACTCCACACTCAGTAATTCATGAGTACAGACAAAGACTGACTCGATGATCTCCTTCCCAACGTGTCATGGTGGTCTGAAGTGAACAAGGCTGGTATGGTTTCAGCCAGGACCAAAGAGGAACACTCATCGATGGGATCAATCATCTGTTGTGAGCCAAGTGGTGCTATGCCGCAATTCGTGATTGATCAAATATTGCGTCAACAAGCAGGACCATCGTCAACAGTGTTCTGTGACATTATCATACGTGTGGTATGCTTTCCTTGAATTCAAGTGAGAAACGTACACCCCAAGATGTTTGGCTGTACCTGAGGTTAACCTAGAATAGTTGCAAGCAGGATAATTTCAGGCTTGATTGAGTGCAAAAACGAACTGTGCGCCTAGTTATTATTGAATCTGAAGTGAAACGTTGATTGTGACACCCAAGCTCGGTTTGTCTTGGTGTTTGTCCCACACACAATGCAGTTTGAACCTGAGGACATTTTGAACTTAGCCGCCAGTTGCAGCATGATATTTGTCCTGGGAACAAGAGTAATTGAAACCCAATTACTGGTTGTTCCAGAACATGGGGATCAACAAGCTATGTACTGGTAATTTTAATGGTTACAGAATTGATGCAAGTCCCAGATGAGCCTATGCATCTACCCTCGCCTCGCCTCTGCTCATAAATATTGGCTTAACAGGACTAAGTCAAGTTGGTCTTTATGCTCAGATTAGCACAATACTGATTACTGAATGGCATTCATCTTCATGCTGAGATTTGCATGGCACTGATTACTGAGTGGCATTTATCTTCATGTTGAGATTTGTGCAGTACTGGTTGAGTTGTCTTAAGAGCCCAAATATCATTCCTCGTCAACTCAGGGTATTTCCATCAGAATAACTTTAAGATCATGCCATTAAGGAGACTAGCTATATAGTATTAAATATCAGGATTCTAATGATCAGGATTCTAATGATCAGGATTCTAATGATCAGGATTCTAATGAAGGTGTTGTTGGGGTCTATGTATAGCTGCTCGCTCCCTCAGACGAGCCTCAAAATGTCCTCCATACTTCCTAAGGCATTCTGCTTTGAAGCTGCTACAGTGGGAATTAGTAGACATTCCATGCACCCTGTAAGCCTCTGCAACAATGACATCAATCATGAATGGATTTTGGACAACTGGCTGCTGGTAACGCTGCATATCAAGTTTGAGGGTATGGTTGATATATCTAAGGCTAGGTCAGTTTGATGTACAGCAAGACAGATGGACAAACATACAAAGACCAGCCTGTTGCTCTCCAAGAATCTCCCCACTGTTTCTGTCATGCCTCGAACCACATTTCAACTTTGGACCAAAAGTCCTTGCCTTCGGCGGTGCGCCCGCCTTGACCACGCTTATGCTTCTTCTTCGCCGGTTCTCCAGTGGGAGAGTCTTCACTAGGAATCTCTTCTGGATTCAGTGTTCCAGAACCTTCATCTTCTTCCTCTACACGATCAAGCAAATAAGGGTATTCATATGCAAAACGACGCTGGAATGCAAAAAAAAACGGCAAGAAAATTTAGCAGTCATAAATCAGAGAAAGACTCTACCAAAATGGCTAAAACGGGCGTGGGTTGTGGGTCCAAGATCTGAATTCCCGCCTGCCCGATGGAAACAAGTCGAACTGTCATAAGTGAAGTCTGACAGTGTGCTTGTGTCGTCGCCGATGACACTGTCACATAGCTGCAATGAGACATATCAGTTTAACTTTAAAGCTTAATAAATATTAAGCACTTGTGCACACCAACTCGCGAAATGAATTACGGATGCTGGAACATTGGCGTTTAATATAAATGGTAAGGAAATGTTCCCTAGCTGGATTGCCGTAGATGTTTGTGAGTTTGAAGGCCTCACATTCTTGACGTAAACAATCCTGTAGTATTAGACAATAAGCAACCAGCACTATCTAATGATTCAGGACTTACTGCCACATCAAAATGAAGTGTTGTAAACATGATCCTGTTGGGGTCAAACATAAGGTCACCAGCAACAATGTATATGTTGGTCTATATGCTTCAGATATTTGATAGATGACAGTGCAAGCAAATTACTCACTCATTGCTCAGGACTAAGTGAGAATGTAGTTTCAAGACAGATTTGCAAATCAGCGAGAAGGTTCTGTGTTGACTGATGAGAAGCAGCGATCTTGCGTTGTTCTTTGAGAATGCAAAATATACTGCCAAGAAGATATGTTCTGGTTGCAAGATCAGATTTGCTCAGACCATGACCGAGCTGCAAGGCACAAAATATCTCAATGTGTGCATGAAAAATATAACCATTGACGTACCCTTGCAAAACCATGTAGGTTTTTCTGCAAGTCTTGTTCTGCATCGCCAAAGCTGAACTGGTTTGTGAGAGTGTCCACAAAGAGGGCAGACAATTCATCTGCAAATAGATTTGGGTCGATATGTGGTTGACGTGAACTTGAAGGTGGGGATCCAGTAGCATGCAGTAAGCTAGCAGTAGGGCTCAGCAGCAAACTCTTGGAGTTGAAGGACTTCCTCGCTGGGAACCGCAGGGTGGGCCAGATAACTCGAAGGATGCAAACGCTCGTGGCTGGGAACCAGTGGGTAGAAGGGAAAAGTCAAACGACATATTTGCTGACTGGGGTATATGAGTGGCTGCAAAAAATGAATGACTGACTCGAAGGTGAGTCGCTGGAAAACACTCTGCCAGTGAACCAACAACTTAGTGCTCATGAACACATTTATACAAAAACTCACTTTGATTACGTGTGTGATCAATGATGGCCTCAAGGCATAATTTCAGCTCCATCATTGTAATAAAGATCATGTTTGACAGTGGGCACTGTGGTCTTCCTGAGCTGGTCCCACAACCAAACAGCAAAATTACCACATAGCAGCAAGTATTGGTAATCAACATGCAATATTATTAGTCTGCAGCAGATGATATGTAGAAGGGAATATGATAAAAAAAAACCCACTCCTGAGTATTGGATTACTGTGATACTTGTAATACAGACCGGTGTAGAGACTTGCGTTTCTGCAGGCACATATGGGCACATTTCGCACCTTTTCACAACTCATGACAATTGGCCTTCAATGCACAACTTGCACCATCAGCTATATTCGACTTCTATCATGTCTCTAGTTGTTTTACACATAACGCGCAGCTTTCCCGTGAAACGCGCCATAGGCGCGCTACTTTTCCACACAATGCGCAGCATTCCCGCGCGCGCTTAGTGCGTTTCTCTCGCACTTGTCGCCCTACTCCATACGCAACTTCTGCTATGTCTCCAGTCATTGCACATACAATGCACAGCTCTCCTGCAAAATGCGCCATAGGCGCAACACTTTCTCACACTTTCGCGTTTCGCGTTCCCGCGCGCGCGCTTAGCGTGTTTCTCGCGCTTAAGCGCACTCCATCGCGCATCATCCAGGAGCATCCATCCATCATCCAACCAGTTCCTAGGTGTGGCCCTTTTTGTTATCAGACCATATTTAGCCTATTACACTTTGTATTTCGTTATGCACCCTTACTTTACATCACTTTACCTCACTTACATACTTAGAGCGCTCCCTATTCGGCTCTGAGCCCTGGGAGAGCGCTTAGGTAGAACTTACATACTTTCATGTTCGTTTTACACCAGCAGGGACTACCACATCTTTCTACCACCATGTACTTGGCAGTTAGTTCCATGCAATGCATGTGTCCGTCATCGTCTTAAGGCCCTAGCATCAGTCTAAAAGCTAGTGGCAGTATCAGTATCTATCTATATCCGCACATTACACCATATTATCGTCTCTCTACACTTGTCCACTGCTCGCACTACCATCCCTGTTCTCTGCGCATTTTCGCGTTTCACTTTCCCGCGTGCACCTTCAGCGCATTTCTCGCGCTTACATCGCCCTTTTGTCGCCTTTGATCAGGGTTGATCAGCATCACTTCGTGGATTCTTGCTTTCTTTGCTTCCCTTAAGGATTGAACATATCGCACGGCATATCAAGACCCAACATAGAGAGTGTTTGCTTGTCATCTGACTTGCAGTCACCTTTGTTGTGTTACCCACACTGGTGTTGCTGTAAAGATCTATTAACTTGTCGGCCTTGAGTACCTTGTCCATGTGGTGCATGTGCTGCTGTAGATGTCATGGAAGCTCCACTTGTGGTGTCATTGTGTGTCCGAATCTCCCTTGCAGCACCCTCAAGGATCGCAAGGTTCATGTCTAGTGGCTGAACAGGTACCCAAAGGCCCTGCATGTGCTTTGCATTGTGCATCCATGCAGTGTTGAGAATGAGATCATCAGGGTCCCTGACATGACATATTACAGTCTTTGCTTTTGATGTCTTCACCCGTTCTTCATAAATGAACTCAATGTCAGAAGCAAAATCTTTGCAATTGTGTGCTTGGCATTGATGCTGCACATTTGCTGCACATAAAATTTGCTTTCATAAACATTCAGTGACCGGCAACTCAGTGTTCTGCAGATAAATCACAAACCTCAATAGGATAGAGTAAAAAACTACCATGTGCCCTGACAGTAGGCATGGAGGAGGACACTGCCGGTTCGCCAACAATTCCACATTCCAGAAGAATTGCATCTGGATGCAGAAGTTTATCTGCGTCTGAGTCTTGGTGCTGAATAAGAAAACACGCTACAATCGGAGACCGTTCCACTGCCTGAGTGCCCTTTGCTGCGAGGACCCAGTCGCCTATCTTACAAACATCCCCATTGAAAAGCATGACAGACTTGCAGGTACAGAAATTATGTCCTTCAAGAGTGTCATTTGGAAGTGATTGAAGAGCATCTGGAACATGTTTCCCTGTCTTGGTAGCCAAGTATGGTTGGAGTAGTTGGTTGTTATGAACACATTGACCTTAAGATACTGAACCTTAGTATTGTATTTTCCAAAGTCAGAATGTAAAATTGAACTTCACCATATTTTTTAGTGTCAACTTGTATGTCAAGTCCAAGATAGTCAGTGATAATATTCAGCCGTTGAATAAGTGACAGTGGGCTGTTTCCAACAACCTTAGCTTCTGGAGGCTTGTCCAATGGGGAGTTGGAGGCTCAAACACGGTCGGGAGAATCAGAGTGAATGTCGTTTGTATCATTGTGTATAATTATTCGCGCTCCTGAGAGAATATGATGAATTCGACTTCCATGGGCAAATGAATATGCAATATCCCAAGAAGGGCACGATGGTTTGAATGTATACTTTTTGCACAGATGACAGTGTTGAAGGACTCAAATGCTTCTGTTGCAAATAAAGCAGCCGGCCCAAATCATTGAATATGGTCAATGACATGTAGTATAATATGAAATTTTGGCTTGTTAAACCATTGAGGGGTTCACCTGGCAGTGCATGCAAGGAAGTTATTAATTGATATTGTGAGATTGCACTGAGACAATAACAATCAGACATGAATATCGGCAGGTAAAACTGAAAGGTATATCACCTACCAAGTGTTCCATTAAGTTTTCTATTTCAGGCTGCCAGATGAGTGGTATCAGGTTTGATAATGCAATCCATGTATCGTAGCACTCCTGGGGCACCAAGTCATGAAGTACAAAGGGTGCAACCTGTGCAATGGCACGAAAATCACGTCCAACAAGAGAACCTGCATATTGAACAAGGGTGTGACCATTAAGATTGCTGGGTCCAAGACCCGAGACATCGACAGATGAGAGGCGAGTCTCTAAAAGTTCACGCTTCAACTTGTCTTTTCCAATCCTTACAGAGACAACATCACGCCAAAAGTATTTGATGAATCCAAGGAGGACTGTGTGGAGAATTTCCACAGGTGTGTTAGTGTGAGGATCGATACCTGAGATGTTATTGAAGTCAATATCCTACACTGTAAACGTGGCTAATCAGAGACCTTTAATTTGCCACACAGGACTTGTGACATTTTCGGGCAGTGTCTCCTTGGCTCTATCAAGAGCTTCCTGCTTCGCCCTGTTACCGCCACAAATTTTGCTGTATGATTCAGCTAGGTGATTCAAGAACAAGTCTAAAAAGGTGTCCTTGATGCCAGTAGCGGTCTTCCTTTGCTTGATCTGCGTCTGGTTCCTGACCGTTGATGCATGAAGAAACATTGACTTGAGTTCATCGACAGTTTCATTCTTGTGACGTGGTTCTCCTATCTGCCATGCTTCACAAATAAAAATATATGCAAAACCACTCAGATTCACTACCTTTACAAACCGCTTAACTGTCATATACCATATATCCGGTTACAGATCCGATGATCTGGATCTCAGATCCGATCCAGATCCGATGAACATATCCGTCGTCCGGTCCACAGATCCGCTTTGATTCTTATTTCATTTCCTGTTCATATAACTCTAACTATCGTTCATCTCCTTCCAGTATTCCTGTACACCGGTATACCGGTTATCCTTTACTTCCGCTTTGCTTACTGATCCGCTATGCTTACTGATCCGCTACACTTACGAATCCGCTTTTACTTGTACTTCATTCCCGGTTCATGATTCGTGATCCATCCAACTTACCAATACGCTCCACTTAGACTTTGCTTATACTTCCGTACATAGCCTCGCACCTTTGCTTATGGATCATTCCGTTAGCTATCCGTAGTATATAAACCTTTGTATATGCGCTGTAGTAGATCAGTTCGAATATCATCTTAGATTGCACTCATTCCGTCTGGACTCTGAGTCCCTCCGTTATCCATCCGGACTTGAGTACGCTACTCTTGTCTACTCCGAGACTTAGGATAGATTCCTATAGTCTACATATCCGCCTCTGTCTTCGGACAGTCCTCACCCGTTAGTTTCTAGTCCGGATCCGATCCGGATTGGCCGTTACTCTATACACGCGATACTTTAGCTCTCTGAAATAAGGGGCAAGACTCGGGAAAGGGGCACAGCGCACGAGCTGAGGCCGAAGCCCTTCGGATCCGATACTACTTGAGTACGGTCTTAACATTAACCCATGTTACCATCTCCTCCATCGTCTCCTTTGCTCATTTTCATGCAGATTTTGGAGGAGCACCAGTATTGCGGGCCTCAGACTCGCTTCTGCTAACCTCATCACCCATGCTGTGGTCAGTATCTTCAGGTTGCGCAGCAGCTGCTTGTACAGGGTTGCTCTCCGCACTTGTATCGTGCCCCTTCACTTTACAAACATGGCAAAAATATTTTCCCATCGACCCAATGTGACAGGCCATTTCACTTTGCATAGGGTTGTCCCCAAGTAAGGCCAAGACTGATGGAATGATAAGAACATACTCCTTGTGAACACAGTCCCAGGCCCAGATGCCTTGCTTCCATGATTCTCTAATTTGTACCGGCATCATTATTTTGCTTCCCTGCTCACAACAGATCTCACTCACTCAAGTTGGTCCACAATACCATCCAACATTTCAAGCGGAGGGGCAATATTCAATGTACAAAGAAAATGGACATTGTACTCTTTGTGGACTGCTGCTCACGGCAATCCTGCAGCTGTAAAAAGAAAAGAATTGTGTTTGTTCCATTTCTTCAACAAGTTTCCAGATGTGTTGTCGCAGTATAACCAGAGAGGCATTGCAGATACATGAGCACCTGATGCCCGAACACACCATTGATTGCCTTCAGAAGGATTTGTTAATGTCCAGGGCTGCAGTTCGCCGTTCAGTTCACGTTCGACACCTAAACAGATATTTACAACATATAATACTCAAGGCGATAAAATGACTCCACCATAGATTGAGCATGCACGAGGTAGACCAGATGTTGCTTCGCTTGAACTCCAGTTTTTGAATGATACAAGTAGATCATCTTCCAACACTTCAGATGAATGAAATCTTCTACAACCCAACTGCAATCCATTTCACGAGTGACAGGCCGCAGTGACCAAGCTTTAGTGTACATCTTCCTGCCACGTGTGAACCAGCAAAATGGCATGCAAGCTCGGCCACTTGATAACAATGCGGGCTCAAAAATGAAGAAATATGGATTGTGCAGTCTGACGACAGGCATAAGCAGCTCCAGGTCAAGTTCCTCAAGCCAATGTTTAGCTTGTCGAGCTTCATTTAGTTCTGCACCAGCATCTTCAGGGTAGAAGCGTAACAGTGGGTGAACTCAAGGGTTCATCATTTCCTTCAAATATGACTGAGTACATAATATTGATTACATTTCAGGCATGCAACACACTTGCCAAATAATGTCAGACAACAAATTAACATAGTATCTATGCCCAAGAGTGCCATCATAAGGAATCGAGCGGATACCGCATAGTCGTTGAATGGTGTCTTTGATGAGTTTGACGGACCGCACTGAAGGCACATTGTCTACATTATTGACCCGAAGTAGCCAGAGCAAAATATCAATCTGTCACTCCGAAAAAAACAGAGCGTGGGAGGTGCATGAGAATATCAAGTGTGCATGTCTACAAAACCACTAGATCAACAACGGTTACTCCTCATGTACAATTGAATATCAAGAACACTTTCTATCACTGCCGGTCCCAATAGCAGTGTCACCAGGGTTGTCATCTACTCGAAATTTGAAAGTGAGCTGCATACCGTGCAGTTAGAGTAACATACCATCATGCCATGTCCGCTGAGGCGATCTCAACCTGGCTGGGCTGATATGAAATATCTAAAAATGCTCAACCAGTATAAGTGAGTCTTGGCTCTGCCTAGCTGCTATACTTGCAGAATGCAAGAACGTTCGACCCTAAAGGGGACTGCTACTGAACACAGAACCAGATGAAAGAAAGACCCTTGAAGTGCGATGGATGCGCGAAAGCGCAAGAAGAAAAGCGAAGTGAGCGCGAAGCGCGAGAGAGCGCACTAAGGTAAGCGCGAGCGTGGGAACGTGAGCGCTAAGGCGCGCATTGTGCGGAAAATACCGGATAAGGAAACGGATAAGGAAGCGGATGTGCAAAGCGAGTGCAAACGCAGAGCGAGTGTTATAACGAGCGTGGATAAAGGTCTAGTATAGGCGGATAACGATAACCATTGGAAACACAAAGTGCGCCCAAGTGGTGACTACTACTTTAAAGTAAAACCCAATAGCGAGGGAAGTACAGCAAAGGGGAGTAATAATGATGGAGTAGTAAGTCAGCAAACTTTATACTATGGAAATCGCATCGGAAGCGGAAGGGATAGGAGCAATAAGCGCTATGAATATGTAATGACATGTAATAGCGCTGCAATGCTTGTTACAAACCACGAGGCAAGGGATATGACGTACCAATGAGGTGGGTGGACATAGAGGGACGTTCCTGGATGATAGGCGATGCAGGGCAATTGCAGGGTGCTTAAGCGCGAGAAAGCGCGCAAGGTGCGCGTGTGGGAATGCTGCGCGTTGTGCGGGAAAGTACCGCGCCTATGGCGCGTTTCGCGGGAAAGCTGCGCGTTATGTGTAAAACGACTAGGGACATGATAGAAGTTGAATATAGCTGATGGTGCAAGTTGTGCATTGAAGGCCAATTGTCATGAGTTGTGAAAGGTGCGAAATGTGCCCATATGTGCCTGCAGAAACGCGAGTCTCTACACCGCCCTGTAAAAACCTCTTCGTCTTCTGACATCTTGGTGCAGGTAACACCACAAAAGTGACTGCAAGTCAGATGACAAGCAAACACTCTCTATGTTGGGTCTTGATATGCCGTGCGATATGTTCGACCCTTAAGGGAAGCAAAGAAAGCAAGGATCCACGAAATGATGCTGGATCAACCCTGGTGAATGGCAGTGAAAGCGTGAAGAAATACACTGAAGGCGCATGCGGGAAAGTGAAATGCGAAAATGCGCGAAGCACGGTGGTGACAATCATATTGTTGCTAGGCATGTATACCTGCATAAGCCTTCAATAGGTGGACCAAAGTTTATCCCTCATATCATTCACTACTCCCCCCTATCAGCAGTCTTCACTTGTCTTAGCCATAACCCTTGTCCAATGCTATTCTGCACTTTCCCGCACTATGCGCGCACATTCCCACCAGCGCTATTCATCCCGCGACTTATCCGACGCTATTCCCGCGCTTACAGCGCTATCAGAACTACCAGCATGTATCTGTAGGAGCATTAGTGCATGTCCGCTCTACCTAGCGCTTGTCCGCTCTATCTAGCACTTGTTCCCATGCCTAGCGCTTGTCCAGCGCGCTGTTCTTGCGCTCTAGGATCCACCCGAAATGTCGGAATCCATCCATGTCCATCCTACCTCATTGGTATGTAATTTTCCTTGCCCCGAGTTTGTAACAAGTGCTACAGTCTTATTACATGTATCCTATCCCTTCCGAGTCCAAAGATGGTATAGTTTACTAGTATAAGAATCATATGGTGACTACTTCGACTTTACTTCCCTTCAACGGTATTTCCTTTCCCTTAGGTTTTACTTAGAAGTAGTCACCCTTTAGTTGCGCTCTATGGCCCCTATTTGACTTTCCTTACCCTTGCAATCAATACCTCTGATCTCACTCGCTATCTATTACCCTCCTTTGACTCAGTGTCCGCTTTCTTGACTTCCGCTCTTTCCCGTGCACTAGCACTCTATCTG